CCTCGTGGGACCGGGGCCACGGACGCGGGGATGGGGTGGGGAGGCAGGCGGTTTGTGTGTAAGACTGTTCTCTCTGGTCCCCGGGTCTTGGTCAGCACACCCCTCAGGATCACCTGTTGAGCCTTCCAAAAATACTGAGGCTGGCCCATCGCCCCCTCCTGTGCCGCATGCCCCTGGAGTCCCCGGGGTGGGGCCACCGAGGCAGCCCTGGCTAGGGATTCCTGGGCTATGTGCCAGCCTGCACGCTCAGGAGCCCTAGTGGGGGCGGTCTGTCCAGCCTGGCTGTTCCCACAGCCCACCTGGCCCTCCCTGGCCCTATTCTTTCTGCCTTGCACGGCTCACCACACATCTGCCACTCCTCAGCAGCATTCCAGAAATAGGTGGTATCCGACACTCCAGGGAAGGCCAGGCTCCTTACCCCGGCATTGCCAGGTTTCCTTGCTCAGAGATGATGCTGCCACTTCCCCCACAGGGTGCTCCCTTCAGTCAAACACCTGCCCTGCGTGAATCCACGTGCTGGCTCTCTCAGCTCTGCCTTCACAATATACCTCAATATACCTTCACAATATACCTGCCTTCACAATATACACTCACCACCCCGCCACCCACAGCCACTCCTCTGGCCTGACCACCCCACGGTGCACCCGCCGCAGCCCCTGACCAGCCTTGCCTCCACAGTCCATTTTCCATACGACAGCCAAAGTGATCTTTGACAAATAGAAACCTGATCATCACATGATGGACAAAAAAACTTTGGGCCCTAGTTTCTGAGGCCCTATGTTTCCCCTTTCATGTCTCAAACCCCATCTCCTTGGTCTCTCTGCTCCACCATACTGGCCTTCCTGCTATCTTGAAGCTCCAACTGTACTCTGATCCCAGGACCTTTGCACATGCTCTCCTCTCTGTCTAAAAGCCCTGAACTCATACCTGCCTGCATATGGGCAGCTCCTTTTCACTGTTGGAACTCATCTCAAATTCCTCATTTTCAGAGAGGCCTAAATGCCACTCCTAACTTTTTTTTTAAAAGCTTTGTTTTCTTAATAGCACTTATCGTTAAATGTATTATAATGATTGTTTGCTTATTTACTGTCTGTCTCCCCACTAGAATGTGAGCTCCAGGAGGGCAAGGTCTTTGTCTTGTTCTCCATGGTGCCTTCCTTGCCTAGCACGGGGCATAGTATGCGGTAGGCACTCAATAAATGCGTGTGAATGAAGAAACACCTCATATTCCCCCCTTCCTTCCCTCCTCCCTGACCCCCATGGCATTGTGTGTTTCAGACCTGGTCACCTCTTCCCTTGTGTTGACCCCGTACCCCAGAATCCCTTCCCTCTCTCCTAGCCAGTTGCCATAGTCACCTTGCCGGCTTGTCTGCCAGGCAAGGTTGTGAGTTCCAGTGCTTGTACACAGGAAGGGCCCAATGAATGCTTAAATAAATGTCTCTGTGGCCATGAAGATAGGAGGCTCTGAGATCCAGAGGTTGTAGCAGGCCCCGCCCTGTCCTGACCATGTTAGCCCTGGGCCTCAGGTTTCCACTTCTAGGGAATTTCCCAACCACTGAGTCCTTAGTTCCTTAGATGAAGGAAATTCTCCATTCCCTTGAGAAGCGGGAGACTCAAGGGGCCCAAGTCTAAAATCCCATCTCCTTGGTCCCTCTGCTCCACCATTCTGGCCTTCCTGCTATCTTGAAGCTCCAACTGCACTCTGATCCCAGGGCCTTTGCACGTGCTCTCCTCTCGGTCTAGAAGCTGAGAAGGAACTTCTCCGTCCCCCTGAGAAGTAGGAGACTTAAGGAGCCCTGAGTCTCTCCACCAGCGGCTGACACTGGCAAGGTGAGTCACCACTGACACTGGTGCAGCCTTCGATTCCATTTTACTGCTGAGGCTCATCCCAGTCAAACGATTTGTCCCAAGTCCCATGGAAACTGAAGTCTGAGATGCGAGCTTGAGACTCAATCTCAGGGCTTTGTTTGGGGTCCACTCGATTCTGAGTCCTGGCTCCTGGACCTTCAGGGCTCTGAGAGCCTCGTGAGAGCTGAAACCTGCAAAAAGAGCACTGTGTCTCTGCCAGCATCCTGAAGAGTGTCTGCAACTGGACGATATTCCGTCCACATGTAAGAATCCCCGTTCCTAGGGGCTTGTGCTTTGGCGCAAGGTATTGCCGACAGTCTCTTCCTCTTATTCTATTGCTAAGGCCTTTAAGGGGTCCTGTTTATCTCTCTCCTCCCCCCAGAGAGATGAAGAGGGACAGGAAAGTCTTCTTGAAGCAGCAGTTCTCCCTCTGGGGCTGGGAGGGACCTTGGAGCTGCCCCGGGCCTGGCTTTCACGGAGGGAGGAAGAAATGACTCGCCCAAGGTCACCGACAGATCTGTGGCTCCTCCCTCTCTGTGGTCCCCATGCTCCTGGGAACCAGCCCTCGCCCCTTCTGGCCCCTTCCTTTCCCAGGATGTTAATCAGGAAATTTCCACAGTTGCTCCGGGGACAGGGTGTGTGGATTAGTGGAAGGGGCTGTTGGGCAGCTGTGACTTGGGCCAGTCAGGTGGCAGTTTAAAAGTGAGAGAATGATAAGATCTGCCCAGAGGCGTCGTGGGAGGGAATGAGTGACCTGCCCCCTTCTCCCTAACCTGACCGGACAGGGGCTGCCCGGAAGGTGGAACACTGACCTGGAGTCTCACCTCCTAGCCCTCAGCCCCACTGGCACCCTGTGTGGGGGCTGCGGACACACTTCTCCAGAAGCTAGAGGGGGACCTAGAAATCCTGGCAAGGGGGTAGGCAGGCCTGGGGGGGAATTAGGAGGAGCCCCAAGAAAAGTCTTTTAAAAAATTAACATGCATGGGGCACCTGGGTGGCTCAGTGGTTGAGCCTCTGCCTTTGGCTCAGGACATGATCCCGGAGTTCCAGGGTCGAGTCCCACATTGGGCTCCCTGCGGGGAGCCTGCTTCTCCCTCTGCCTGTGCCTGTGTCTCTGCCTCTCTCTGTGTCTCTCATGAATAAATAAAATCTTTTTAAAAATTTAACACATGAAGAATATCTAAATTTTGCAAAAAGCTACACAGTGATCATAATCTTCTGGGCCTGTCACCGAGGGCCTGTCTTCCCCGGCTCACCTCTATGCCTGTTTGAGCCAGGAGAATGCCCAGGAGCTGCCCCTTGCCCCCTGACTCGGGGTGACATCGAGGGTTTCTGTGGCAGCTGCTCTTTGGCCTCTGCTTCTGGCTCCCCTTCATCATTCATTCAACATACATTTATTGAGGACCTAATGTGTGCTGTTCTAGTTGCTTCAGGCTATCAATGGACAGGATAGGCCCAGATCCCTGCCCCCGTGGGCTTGCCTTCTAGAAGATTAGGCAAAACTTATGTCCCCCTTCCCAGAAAAATGCACTTAGGTGTGCAAACTTGTCCACAATTTTGCGGGGCTCCTGGAGCCCAGGCCAAGCACACTCATCTTAGAGCCTGAGCCCCTAACGCAGTTTGCGGCTCCGACGCAGGTGAAGCATTCCCAGCTGCCCCCTTCTGCCCGGGCCTGCAGCTGGGCACACCTATCCTGGGCCCCCCTGGGCCAGAGTGAGAGGGGACAGGCGGGCCCCCCTGTAAGTCCTCAGTCAACTAGGCCTGGCTTGCCGGTAGAAGTCATGGAGTCCAGAGAACTCCAGGTATCTCAGCCCAAGTCTGAGGGGCAGGGCAGAGGGGGAGAAGAAATGTGTCTCTCGTGTCCCTCCTGAGGATGGCTGGCGCCTGGAGCTGGTGATGGCCTCCGTCTATCCCCTGCCTCCAGAGAAGTAGCTCATCCTCCAAGACTCCTGGTCAGGGATTGTCCCATCCTGCTGTCCCCACCCTGACCCTCCTCAGGGGCGTCTCTCCCATTGCTGCCCTCGTTACACAGTGGGCTGGGCTGTCTCCATGTCCCTTTCCCCCACTTACTCAGCAGCATCGTGAGCGCAGGCACACCTTCCCGCTGGTGGCACATCAGCTGGTGGCACATCCCGCTGGTGGCACCATGCTAACTGCTAACCCCTCTCTCCTGACCCCTGCCTGGTTTCAGTTCAGATTTCAACCCTCGTCCCCCAATGGCTCAGGCGCCTCTGGTGACCAGAGGGCTCCCTCCTACAGCCCCCCATGCATTTAAAGTGTGGCCTCAGGGCTGCTGGCAAAATCGGAGCCTGATCTGACTCTGCACCAGGGTGGGGTCTTTGCCCCCTGCCTGCCAGGGACGCTGGGGGCTCCCTGCCTGTGCTGGCCCGGGGGAGGCACTATCTCCTGGGGCTCTATACCCAGTGTCTTGGAGGCAGAGCCTGGGAGGCTGTGCAGTGAGTGTGGGGGTGGTAGCCAGCTGCCCTGTGGGCCTCGCCAGTCCACAAGGGTCGGGGTGGGGGGCTACACAACACACTGGGCACATGCTGAACTCTGGTTTGGGGGTGCTTGCACATACTGGCTCATACTCTCTGAGATGTCTTTGGAAGGACATGCCCAATGGGAGTCAGAGGTCTAAGTGAGAGAGACTAACCTTTTCTATATATGTGTGTATATATAAACTACATTTTTAAGTGTCATGCCATTCATCTAGTCACCGTGCTAAGTACCTAAAAAATAAAACAAAATACTATGTACTCAAATAAGAGGCTTTTGAATCACGTAGGGTGGAGCCTCAGGTCATTAGGTGTCTCTGGGGCTTCCTGAGTGTCCTCTGGCGAGTACTCCTTCCCAGGGTCCCACAGATGTCCTCTGCTCTTGGACTCAGAAAAGCCTCTCGGGGACCTGGGGGTGAGGCGTGTTTCCCCCTTTCCCGCTCTGTGCCTGGCTCTGGTCCCAGGCAGGGCTGCTATCTCCGCGATCAAGGGGCGGGCAGGACAGCAGTGGGCACGTGCTCGGCCTCCCACCCTGTCTGGGGACCCTGCTCGCCAGCCGTGGGCGGTTTGGACCAAACTCCCTCCTCCTCCCTGCTGTGGGCCAGCCTATAAAGCCACCCAGGACGTCCCTGCCGCCCCTGGCCCCCTCCCCTGACACCCAGAGCCACAATGGCAGAGCTGCCGGTGTCAGAGATGCCAGGGGACCCCGCACTGTGCAGTGGGCGCTTCATCATCAGCACGCTGCTGGGGGGCGATGAGCCTCCACCGCCCGCTGCCTGTGATAGCAGCCACCCCAGCCACCTGACCCACGGCAGCACCTTCTACATGCGTACCTTTGGCTACAACACTATCGATGTGGTGCCAGCCTACGAGCACTATGCCAACAGCGCCCTGCCCGGAGAGCCCCGGAAGGTCCGGCCCACGCTGGCCGATCTGCACTCCTTCCTCAAGGTAGGCACCATCTCAAAGCCTGGCCACTTTCCTGCTGTGTGGCCTTGACCCAGTTACCTAACTTCTCTGAGCCTTGGCTCTGTCATCTGTGCTGTGGGGACAGACAGTTGTCTTCTTCATGGGTTGAGAGGCCTGAATGAAATGCGGGCATGGAAGCCATAAAGATCCGGACACATATTGTAGTGTTTATTGTCCAGCCATTGGCAACACAATCATGAGTCTTGGCCCCCTACAGAGGTAATGAGTTCCCGGGTGTGGCGGTGCACAGAGGCTGCACACACCTGAAAGAGAAAGGGACATGGGACCAAGGGAGGTCTGCAGCAGAGGGGAGGCTGGACCGTGGAAGGTGTGGATGGGGAGCCGGATTGTTGGTGCCTGCCTGACCTGTGGCCTCTGGGCTCCAGCAGGAAGGCAGCCACCTGCATGCCCTGGCCTTTGACAGCCGGCCCAGCCATGAGATGACCGACGGGCTGGTAGAGGACGAGGCAGGCACCAACGGTGAGAAGCAGCCTGGGGAGCCCGTGCGCTTTGGCTGGGTCAAGGGGGTGATGGTAAGTAGGATGTGGATGGGATGCGCAGGAATGCAAGTGGGGGAGACATGGCTCTGTCCAGGGGCAGCTCTGACTCTCAGGTCTTAGTGGCCAGGGTAGACCCAAGGCCCAGCCTGGGCCGCAGTTTCCCCATCTGCAGAGCGACCTCCAATTTTCCCTGGTTTTGTGCTTCTCCAGCCCCATGTATTCCCCAGGTTGATATCTCACCCTGGGAAAGATCTCTGGATACCTGCTTGTCCTGTGGCATTGGACAAGTTAGTTAACCTGTCTATGTCTCAGTTTCTTCACCTGCGAAATGATGAGAATTAAATGAGTTAATAGACGAACACCGGGTGTTATACTATATGTTGGCAAATTGAATTTAAATTTTTTAAAAATTTGCATACAAAAAAAAAAAAAAGAAGAAGAAGAAGACCAGACCGGCTTGGATCAATGCCTTCCTAGGAATTATTAGAAGAAACTGTTTTCCCCTGAAGCCACGAGGGGGCAGCACTAAACACACAACTCCAGGAGCGTGTTTTGTCGTTCCAGGTGATGGGAAGGGGAAGGCGTCCTGCAGGGTAGAGCACCAGCAGAGAATCAAATGAACTTGGCTTTGGAAGGCATTATGGGACTTTTCAGAGGGGATCGCATCCCTAGAAGGCTTTGGTCCTGCTTCGGGAGGGGGTGGGTGCAGGAGGCCTGGATTCCGACCTTACTCTGCCTACTGGCTGTGCTTCCTTGTTTCCATCTGAACTGCGAGCTCCCCTTCACCCCAGCAGCTCATATATGGAGTATGGATCTTCCCTCCAGGCTGCGGGCCGTGTTCAGTATCTCGGAGCACACAGAGGGCCTTAGAAGTCTCCCCGCCTCGTAAATCCCACATGCTCCTGCCCCACCCCAAGAACTTGGCCGGAGCCAAAGACCACAGCAGCACCCCACCTCCCTGGAATTCAGTCTCAGCTGTAGCCTCTGTCTTTGCTTTAAATTTGGAAGCTGAAGTCACAGCAACACGAGCGTTGTTTCTGCTTGTGTGTGGGGCCTTGGCTCAGCTGGCATTTGCTGTGCTCCCCAGAGATGCCAGGCCCTGGGCCAACAACTGGCCACTGGGACCATGGCTGGGGCTGGCAGACACAGGATCCCCACCTCCTGGGTGGAAGGGGCAGGTGGATCTCTGGGTACGCCTGCCTCCCTGCCCCACAGAACTAGAGGGGCATTGAGGTAGGAACCCACTGATGTAAGTAAAGCAAAGAAAGGACCCAGGGTCCCCTAGGTCAAAGTTCTGATGCCATGCCATGACTGGGGACAGGGACTTGTGTATTTGGCTTCGGGATATCCAGTCCACCCAGGTGGCCTCTGATGCCTCTCTCATCCCAGATCCGTTGCATGCTCAACATCTGGGGCGTGATTCTCTACCTACGGCTCCCCTGGATTACAGCCCAGGCAGGCATTGGTGAGTGCCACCTCCGGAGGGAAGGTGAGGGTATGCCTGAGACCTGATCCTCCCAGACCTCCATCCTGAATTTGGGGTACAGAGACCACAGGCTCCTGCAGTGACAGAGGTCAGGGAAGTGTGACAGAGGAGTCTAGACATGGAGTAATCAGGCCTGGGGACTCTCCCCGGCTCTGTTTGCCCTCAGTGGGTCACTCAGCCTCTTGGAGTAAATCTCTACTGCATAGCATCCAGGTTAGAAACTTGTGCTCTGGACAGACAACAAGGTTCAGTTGCTAGCTCTCATGCTGTGCGACCTTGCACAAGTTTCTTGACCTCTCTGAGCCTTAGTTTCCTCATCAGTAAAATGGATGTGATAAGTGTCCCTACCTCACAGACCTATTGTGGGATTTCTATGATGTATGTAAAACAGCATAGGACTTGGCACCAAAGGTGCTTATTGAGTGGTGACTTTTTTATTCCTAAAGGAGGGTGACTTCCCATGGGCTCATCAGCTCCCTGGCTGTTCAGAATATACCAGGTGGGAGACAGAGACCCATTTTTCAGATGAGAAAACTGAGGCCCAGAGAAGGGAGGTGACTTAGGTGGTATGGCAAACCAGTTGGCTGACTCAGCTTCCTCATGTGGCTCCTCACCTGGGAAATGCCCCAGCTGAGCTTTTTGGTGACCACATCCCCACCCACCCCACAGTCCTGACCTGGATCATCATCCTGCTGTCCGTCACCGTGACCTCCATCACCGGCCTCTCCATCTCAGCTATCTCCACCAACGGCAGGGTCAAGTCAGGTGGGCCCCACCCCACCCCAAAGGCCCTCCTCCTTCCTGTCACTCCCCCGGTCTTCACCCTGGGAATGGGCCTCTGAGCCACTCCCTATCAAAATGGGGATGCCCCAACCTGCTCCCCCTGGTTCCAGGTGAAGGCTTTGGGCCCCCATGGATGGACTGGGGGTCCCATGGTTACCCTCTCCTAACCTCCATGTCTGCTTGCCCCAAGCCGACCCCAGCCAGCTGACTCCTCTGGTTTCTTGGCTCTTGGCTCTGTCCCCAATAGGTGGCACCTACTTCCTCATCTCCCGGAGTCTTGGCCCAGAACTAGGGGGCTCCATTGGCCTCATTTTTGCTTTTGCCAACGCTGTGGGTGTGGCCATGCACACCGTGGGCTTCGCGGAGACCGTGAGGGACCTGCTCCAGGTGAAGCCAGAGGGAGCCTGGGCAGCCTACCTTGCTCCCCTCCAACCCCAACTGGGCCAGGCCCTCCCTCCCGTCTGCCCAATTTTCCCAGTCAGGGACCGAGGCCACAGTCTGATCCGCTGTGGGTGACCGTGATGATATCATCAAATAAAGACCGTTCCTTGAGTCCCCTTCAAGGGTGTGTGTTGCCTTTAGGGTCAAATTGTCCAGGCCGAGACAGCAGCCACTGTGGAGGCTCTGCTGGCAGGGAAGGTGCTTGTGTTTGTGTGTTGCTATGAGAGGGAGCCCATAGTTGAGGTGAATCCAGGTGGAGGAGTCTGGAGGGTGGGCTGTTCCGAGGGCAGCCTGCAGCCTGGCCTGTCCCCCTCCCCAGGAGCATGGCACACCCATTGTGGACCCTATCAATGACATTCGCATCATCGGTGTGGTCACCGTCACCGTGCTGCTGGCTATCTCCCTGGCTGGCATGGAGTGGGAGTCCAAGGTGAGTAGGGGATGTTGGGAGTGGTGAGGTGGAGAGGTGGGAGTCTTGAGGCCTCGCTCCCAGTCCAGGAGCGAGTCCCAGTCTTCTTGGTGTATCAGCTAGGCTTTCAGCTCTGCTGCTGTGACAAATAGGCCCTAGGGATCAGGGTCTTGAGCAAGAGTGGTGTGTTTCTCTCTCCTGTAACAGTCCAGGTGTGTGTGGTTCCTGCAGCTCAAACACCCAGACCACTTCCATCCTATGGCCTCTCTCTCCCCGGGTGTGCCCTTCATGCACCTGCTCCATGGCGGCCACCAGGGCCACCGCCCAGTCAGCAGGGAGGGAGAGGGCAAAAAGGAGGCACTTCTTTTTCCTTTTCTTTTTCGGGCACCAACCTGGAGTTGCACACATCCCTCTGCTCACACCCCATCAGCCAGAACTTGGTCTCATGGCCACACCTAAGGTACAGGAAGGGAGGAGAGATGCATGCTCACGGGAACCCGTATCCAGCCAAAATTCAGAGCTTAGCAGAGAAGGAGGGCTGAATAAATATGGGGCGTCAGTGGGCAGACTTGCCAGATCTGGCCTCCACCCCCCACCCCTGTGTCTCCTCTCTCTCTCTCACTCTGGCTTCCAGCTCCGCTGGCCTCCTCGCTGTTCTTTGAGTGTCCCCAGCTTATGCCCTCTGCTGCTCACTCCTCTGCCTCCTTTGGATCCTTGAGATACCTTCGTCAGCTGCTCTGCTAAAGTAGCCCCCACAAGGTCCCTCTCACACCCTCGTTCTGACCCTAGAGTCATGTTCCATATTTATCAGCAACACAAAAGCCTTGCTGTATTGCCAACTCCTAGAACGGGGCTGGCAGCCTAAGGGGTGTAGATGAATGAATGAATGAATGAATGAATGAATGAATGAATGAATGAAAGAGGGAGGGGCCCTGGGCAGGTCCTGTCCTGCTGGGGCTCCCTGAGCGTGAGGCCAGGCCGTCTGACCTCTAGGGTCTTTTATCCCTAGGCCCAGGTGCTTTTCTTCCTTGTCATCATGGTCTCCTTTGCCAACTACTTGGTGGGGACGCTAATCCCCCCATCTGAGGACAAGGCTTCCAAAGGCTTCTTCAGCTACCGGGGTACGTGCAGGTTGGGTCCATGGCTCTGGAGACAGGTACAGCTTGTCCACCCAACTGGGCCATTCTGTGGGCAGTGGGAGGACACGACCCCCAACTCCTAGGACCACAGAAGCTGCCAGAGAGGGAGAGCCTCCTGCCTGTCCGGCTGGGCCCAGCCTTCCAGGGGGCCTGACTCAGGCTTTGGTCTTGCAGGAGACATTTTTGTCCAGAACTTGGTACCCGACTGGCGGGGTGCAGAAGGCAGCTTCTTCGGGATGTTCTCCATCTTCTTCCCCTCCGCCACAGGCATCCTGGCAGGTGCCAACATCTCTGGGGATCTCAAGGTGAGTGGGACACTCGTCCCCCTGCTTCCTGGCCCTGTCCTCCCAGGATCTCCAAGACCGTGGGGCCAGAGCTTCTAAAACCCAGTCGAGTCCAACTCAACTCAGTCCCAGCCAAGCAAACCAACTCTGTTCATTCCCCTCCATTCTGAGGTTGTTGATTGACACCGGCTAGGCCTGGAGGACCACCCTGAAACGGGCGGGTCTCCTCCCTAGTTCCCAGGGTCTCTCAGCCTCAGGGGGAAGACTGGGCCAGGTCAGACTGGTTCATGCACCTCCTTGCTGGGCTGACATCCCTCCTGCACCCCCCTCCCCGGGCTCTCCCTCTCCACTGCTCAGAGGTCCAGGCTCCCGTCCACCATCGCCGCTGTCCCCTGTCCCCACGTCCCCTGCCCCAGCCCCCAGGATCTGCTGTTTCCTCCATGTTTCCTGTCTCTCCTCCACATTTTTATCTCTGCTGCGCTCTCTCCCTGGGATGTTTCTTTACCTTGAGAAGTTCTGTTCCTCACTGAAATAACACCTCCATCCTAAAATCTTTCCCAGCCCTTCTGCCAGAGTCATGGGTCCCCTTGTGTGTGGATGTCAGGCCATTTATGAGTCTCTTCCCCCTTCCAGTTCTCTTTATCTGGAGAGCTGAGGCCTACCTCAATGTCCCTACTCCCAGCTGAGAGGCAGACACCTACTAGGTGCTCAGTCCATGTTTGTTGAGTGAATAGTGGTGAAATGTATTGAATGGGAGATTTAGAGAAGAAGCACAAAGCGCTATAAAGTGGGGGAGGAGAGACAGACGTTGGCAGGGGCTCCAGCCAAACTCCTGGGTGGAGGTGGGGCCGGAGCTGGACTTTGAAAGCCAAGAGGTCCAGTGGTGTCTGGGCTGGGGCAGTGTCAAGGAGAGAGATGGTGTGCAAGTGGGGTGAAGGCGGAGAGCCTGGCTCGGTGCTGGGAACCCTTCCTCCCACACCCAGCCTCCAGTCCCACTTGAAAGGGGTTCCTTGATGCGTTTTCTTAAATGAATTAAGAATTGTGCCTTGGAGACAGTCTCCACCCCACCTGGCTCTGAGTGAGTGTGCCCAGGGGGAACAGGGCATGGCCTGGAAATCAGAGCTGGCCGCATTAGCCTGGCTCCTGTCTTCTCTCTGGGGAGCAGCCAGCAGAGGCCTGGCCTGCCTGCCTGCCTGCCTGCCCCGAGGTCCCTGCAGAGGCCGTCCTTGTGCTCAGCCCAGTTCCCCTGCCAGCTCTGTCACAGAGCATCATAGCCTCGCGATTCATCCAGACGCTTCGTGCAGCCTCTCAAGTTTCCAACCATCGGGGTGTGCAGGTGTCAGGGGCCAGGCAGCTGTTCTGGAGCTGCAGGTGGGGCAGGGGGTGCACCTTTGCTCTGTCCTAAATGCCCTCAAGCCTTAAAGGGGACCTTCCCTCCTGAATCCAGCCTCAGCCTGTTCTGTGAGACAGGGTGTCCTCAGCAGAAGAGTAGCTCCTTTCCATGGAGACTTGAGGCAAGCCCCTTAAAATATCTCCGGGCTTCAGCTTTGCCAATGGTAAAACCGACACCACCCCTTCTATTGCAAAGCACAGAATGAGGATTCCCTGCTTTGAACAGTGCCTAGCAGGGAGGAAGTACCAAGGGCTGGTAGTCAAGGTCATGGTAATTTTTTCCATGTGGCTGCAGGGTGGCTCGTACTTCACAAAGGTTATCCTTGGGGGTGACTGTGAGGGCTCATACCATCGTCACCCAGATGTCACCCAGAGCAAACCAAGCTCAGAGATGGCTGGGGGTTGCCCAGGGCCACACACCCACAGCGGGCAGAGGGACTGGAATGCAAGTTTCTAGAACAAAGAGGCCTCAACTTCATCATAAACTTACCATTCAACAAATATTTTTTGAGCACCTGCTTTGTGCCAGGGTCTTGTGGATACAGCAGTAAACAAAACAGACATAAGGTCCTGCCCTCGTGGAGCTGACATTCTAGCTAGAAAGAGAGACAATCGACCAATAAGTAAATAGGACGGGGCGTTCGCTCGATGGTGGAGATGGAGCGCAGAGGAGGGTAGGTCACCCCTGGGGGCGTGGAGCAAAGTCAGACAAGGTGGCCAGAGGCCACCCCAGAAGGTGACATAGGAGCCAGGACCTAAGGGGGTGATGTCAGAGTTCCCATCATCACTATTAATCCCTCACACCTCCCCAGCCCTCTAGTGCTTACAGAGCAATCTTGTGACCGTCCCCCTGTGCTATGACCAAGGAAAGCTTTACTAGCTTAATTTTGCAATGGGGAGGCTGAGGCTCAGAGACAAGGGACTTCCTAGTGATGTGGGGTCAATTCCTTGCCTGGTGTGGCCCCAGGGCAGGTCCCTGAGCACAAGACGGTTCCCACTCCCGAGTGCTCCCATTTATGGGTGCTTACTGCCTGTCGCGTATCATCCTGAGGCATCATGAGGTTCAGGGGCTTGTCCCTCTCTCATGGCTGAGAAGAGATGCTGGGATGTAGACTCAGATGTGCCTGACTTATGAGCCAGGGGCGGAGATTTCAGGCCAAGAGGTGGGGGCCTGATGGAGGCCGAGTGGAGCCATCTCCTGGGGATGCTGACACCAACCACCACGAACACTGGCGCTTAAAACAACAGACATTTATTCTGGCATATGGTTTGGGAAGTCAAACGTCCACAACAAAGTTGTCAAGGGCCAGGCTCCCTCTGAAGGCTCTAGGGGGTTGGGGTGGGGGGTCCTTCCTCTCTTCTCCCAGCTTCTGGCGGCTCTGACAAGCCCCAGCCTTCCTTGGCATGGAGCTGCCTCTCTGCAGTCCCTGCCACTGCCTTCCTGTGGCTTTCTTCCCTCCGTGTGTCCTTGCCTCTTCTTTCAGCAAGACTGGTCACTGGATTTAAGACCTGCCTAACTGGGCAGGACCTCATATTAACTAATTACTTTTGCAAAGACCCTATTTCCAAATAAGGTCAGATTCTGAGGTTCTGGGTGAACAGGAATTTTTGGAGACTCCATTCAAGCCACTCTAGGTGGGATGGGAAGTTAGGCCAGTCTGCTGGCCTAGGGACCAGGGACTCTGTGTGCTTTACCTAGTCACTCCATCCTGGTACACGACAAGGCTGCAGGGCCCCCAGAGCAGAGATCTCGGCCTCCCTCCCGCTCTGCACCTCTGTGTCTACTTTGTTCTGGCCTGCCACTCCCCTCCTCCCATCCCCTGCCTTCAGAGCTACCTCGGTCAGTCGGTCGGTTGGTTGGTGGTCTCCTTCACCATGAGGCCTCCCGTGGTTCCTGCAACCTGTTGTGCTCTCTCCCTGCCCTTGTTCTGCAGCACACCCCAGTCTGCCCTGTGTTGGCAGGATCTTGCCTGTACCTCTTCTCCCTGGGCCCAGGGTCCTCAAGGTGGGGCCAGGACTTGGCCATCACTGAGCGACTGTTGGTTCCAAATCAGGCTCCTGAGTGTTTGAGGCAGAGAACCGGGTCGTTGCCAGCCTTGTTTGGACCTGCCTGAGATGCTGAACCATGTCATGGTCCCTCCAGCTCTGTGATTTGTGGTCCTACCTGCCAGCTGTGCAGAATGGCCCGGGAAAAGCTGGGGAGGTGCATGGGTTTACTCCCAATGCCCATGTGACCTGCCATGGGGTTGGGGTCTATGCCTGGAGGGAGGAACCTGAGGTAAAAATCCCAGCCTGTGTTACTCCACCCAGGACCAATATTTCCTCGGAGGGGAGAGATTGGGGCTTGTCTGTATATTAATTGCTGTGGTACCACACAAACCAATCGGTGCATAATAGTGATCAACTTGCAACCAGCGTGGCCGGTGAGCCGGGCCCTGATCTAGGAGCCTGATGCAGATTAATTCACCCAGCCAGCAGTCCTGTGCGGCGGCAGAGGCTGAGGCATAGGAGACCATGCCCCCCATCCAGCCGGTCACCTGGGCTCCCAGAGCCTGGATGTATTCTCAGCCCCATGTTCTTGTGTCCCATCCTGCTCTGTGGGTTGCAGTCGTGAGGGTCCTTCCTCCCTGGGCCCTGGGGAAGGGGGCTCTGAGAGGCCAGGTCAGGGGTTGCTGGCCCACCTCTGGCCCCAGACAAGGGCAGGGCCTGGAAGAAGGCCCAGAGGCTGCCCTCCCTCCCTCCCCCTTCCCCAGGACCCTGCTGTAGCCATCCCCAAAGGAACGCTCATGGCCATTTTCTGGACCACCGTCTCCTACCTGGCCATCTCAGCCACCATCGGTGAGTAGCCAGCCCAGATTGCTGGAAGGGGCGCAGGGTACTTGGCTCTCCAACAGGAAGAGCTGGACCAGGACGACATGGCAACCTCAGGAAGTGGAGCCTCAAACCCTATTCTGGGGACAACTGGCGGTGACTAGAACAGCTTCATGGGAGGCGGTAGTTTGTGGTGGGGGTGGGGGTGGTCAGCCCAGGCTCTCTGGTCCCTTCAAAACTTAAGTCACAGATTCAAGGGTGGGAAAATCCTAGAGGACAAATTATACTCTGAGTTGAGGACTCATAATAACAATAAGGATGATGGTGGTGGTGAAGATGATGCCAGCCACGGACTTAAACTATAGGCCTAGCCCTTTATGTGCCTCATCACATTCAATCTGGGGCACTGCCATTCCCGCCACTTTACAGAGGACTAAATCAGAGCTCAGACAGGTTAAGTGACCTGCCCAGGGTCACACAGCCACTGATGGTGGGGCCGGGCTTTGAACCCAGGCCTGGGCTGTTGACATTTGCCTCTCACTGAGGTCCTCTCAGGTGCTCTTGCTCCCAGTAACCACCTTGTTAGGTAAGCTGCTCACAGATGGCCAAGGGACGTGGCCTAATCTGGCCTCTGCTTTAAGGACCACATGGTGATCTTAATAGGTCACTTTAGGTCACTGTGCCTCTGTAGAGCAACAACAACGAAAGCAATAGTGAGGCTTGCTTCCCAGGGTTGTTTGAAGTCCTTAGCATGGTGCCTGGCACATCGTCAGTGCTCCTGCATTTAGCTATTTGCATCGGCATTATTATTGTTATTATTAAGTATTATTACATGCTACAGGGGGAGCTGGCCCCTCTGCAGCCTCTCGCCCTCTGCAGAAGTGGCCAGTGTTGGGGAGGTGGGAGGAGAGGAGGGAGGAGCCTCCCCAAGCCCTGCTCCCCCTTCAGGCTCCTGCGTGGTTCGAGATGCCTCCGGGGTCCTGAATGACACGGTGACGACTGCCAGCTCGGGCGCCTGCGAGGGGCTGGCCTGCGGCTACGGCTGGAACTTCACCGAGTGTGCTCACCAGGGCAGCTGCCGCTATGGCCTCATCAACTACTACCAGGTGCACGCGGCCTCTGCCGGGGAGTCTGCCCCAGCAGAGCTCGGGTGGGGGGCCCGGGGCCAGTCCTGCCTCGGCGGCCCCTGGGATCCCCAGGCAAGGGGTGTGGACTCAGAAGCCTTGGGACCTAGCCCCTGCCTTCAGGGGGCACTGGGGTGCCCTGGGCTCCAGGCATGAGGGGCACCACCATGAGCGACCCAGACCCCGTGTCCCTGCAGACCATGAGCATGGTGTCTGGCTTCGCGCCCCTCATCACGGCTGGCATTTTTGGGGCCACCCTTTCTTCCGCCTTGGCCTGCCTTGTGTCTGCTGCCAAGGTCTTCCAGGTGAGGCTGCAGAACGGGGAGGGCGGGAAGGTGGTGTCTGGGAGGCCCAGGGGCAAGGGTCCCCGGGTGACAGCTACTGAGGTCTGGCATGGGACATGGACGTGCAGACTGAAGGGCACAGGGGGTCAGTGAGCAAACTCCTGCAGGAAGCAGCCCCTTCCCGAGGTGTGCTTGAAGAGCACCTGCATTTCCCACCCCAGAGTGTCCCCTGTGCAGCCTGGGGACCCACTTTTGCCTGGACGTGGTTGACACCCACCCCGTTTGCTATCTCCCTGGTGAGGTGGAGGGAGCAAACAGGGCCCGGGGAGGGGGGCCTGCAGGGTGGGGAGGGGGAGCGGGGCCCAGCCCGCAGTGAACACATCTTCCTGTGCCCACAGTGCCTGTGCCAGGACCAGCTGTACCCGCTGATCGGCTTCTTCGGGAAGGGCTACGGCAAGAACAAGGAGCCGGTGCGCGGCTACCTGCTGGCCTACGCCATCGCCGTGGCCTTCATCATCATCGGTGAGAGGCTGCGAGGCTGGGGGGCCGGGGCCCGGGGGGCCACGTGCCAGGGCTCCTCCTCGTGCTGCTCACCCTGGCGCCCGGTGCCCAGCCTGGCCAGGCAGGGAGTGGGCACTCAGTAATCCCTGAGTGAGTGGGGCTGGTCATGGGGTCCCCACTGCCCCCGCCTCCAGGCGGGGTGGCTCCCACACCACGCCAGGTGGGTGGACCGTTCTATTTTGTTCAAAGGGACCCTACATGCTCTTCTGGTTCCCCATTCTTGTATCCTGGCAAGTTGTCCCCCATCCCCCCAGCCCCCAGCTCGTCTGAATTAGTCCCCAGGACAACCTCAGAGCACAGGACAGCTCTTGGGAGCTGACACAAATAGCTGGATCGATATCTCCATAGGTGTATAAACTAGACAGTCTCATTTCCCACACCTTGAGCTGCCAGATTCCTTGGACTTCACAGTAAAGGAGGCCCCCAGGAGAAGGATCCCAGTTAACCAGTTAGTTAGATTGGCTTTCTATCCTGGCTATTTCCATATGCCCACTGTGTTGCCTTACCTTCCTGAGCCTCGGTTTCTTCGTCTGCAGAATGGGAGCAATAGCAGGTGTGTCACAGGTGGGCAGGAAGTGACTTGTGTACATGCACACACATGCATTGCATTCATACATGCACATACTCCCCAGTACTTCCTGACTTCCTTAGCCAACAAGGCAGATAGGTAGCCTCACCAGGCAAGGACAGCAGCTGTGCTACAGCATGATGACCCTCTGGCCCCTACTCTCTATGTAGGAGCAGGGTGGGGGCTGGCTGCTGGTGGCCCCGTGGGCCTGCCATAGCACAATCCCTCCCAGTCATGCTGGCATCACCAATCCTAGGACTAACCCTACCAGTCTACTCACTTCTACTCAGGGGAGCCTTTCCAGACATTGGAGACTCCTGGATCCTGAACCAGATGAAGAGGTAGCAGGGCCACCCCCAGGGGATGGGAATGTCTAGACTGATGTTCTCCAAACACATCTCTGCTTCCTGCTTATCCTGCAGTCTACCCCCAGCTCAGACTTTATGGATCTGACTGCACTTCAGTCTGAGAACCATGATCCCAGATGCTCTGGGACAGGGTTCTTGTGGCAATTCAATGAAATCACGCACAGAAGTCCTGACACTTGAGAGGTGCTTGTCTTGTTGTGGGATTCCCCAGAAGCAGGCTCCAAGACAAGGACACAAGGACACACATGTAGAAGTTTGTCTGGGGTGCCGGGGCAGTGGCAGCCCAGTGAGACAGGGAAGGGAAAGGACTAGTTCTTGAGTGGGTTTCCACTGTGGATGGAACTGTGCGTGTCCTATGGTCTCGGGATTTCAGATAAAAGATGATATATGTCTTGGGTCACATTGTACAATGTATTTCTTACTGTAATTTGTGGTTACAGAAAAATGTGACAGTCATTGTCCTTGGTTATCCCCTAATGTCTCCCACTGCTCCCCATCCTCGTAAGAGCCGGCATTTTATGGTAAACAAAACATCAGCCCATCAGTTTCACAAAATGATGGGCCCATTACACAGACGAGAAGGTTGAGACACACTGAGCCTCTGGAGCCCGTCTGGAATCCCCCAGCTGCGAGGGAGGGCACCGGGCGGCTCCTGGGCGGGTTGCCCAACAGACTGTCCTCTTTCTCCCCCGGGTCCCTGAAGCTGAGCTCAACACTATTGCCCCCATCATCTCCAACTTCTTCCTGTGCTCCTACGCGCTCATCAACTTCAGCTGTTTCCACGCCTCCATCACCAACTCACCTGGTAGGCAGCCCCCTCACCGCTCCAGGGAGGAGGCGCGTGGGGCCAGGGCAGGAGGGGGGAGGGGAAGGCACGGGTGCAGGTGAGCCCACCAAGGTCACCTCTCCAATGGAAACCAATCCGAGGGACCATTCAAGTCATAATCATAATAATAGCAGCTCTGATTCCTTAAGCACTTACGGTATACACTGAACAGGGATTCATATGCTGTCTACAGGGGGCGAGGAGTTCCCTGGTGCCCTCCACCCCCAACTTACGGGAGTCAGGAATTCCTGACTCCCCAGAAAAGGGAGAGAATTGGCCAAAGTCACAGGTTGTTGCAGGTTGCACATTGCACAACTCTGGGGGTGCTGCTCATATAGGCCATCGATTTGTATGTTATTCTGAAAATTTTTGGCAGATGACAGTAAAGTATCTCTCTTTTCTCATGACCCCCAAATCGCCAATGGGTCGGTCCCCCAGGCCACCTTTTCCTTAGACCAGGGACCTGATGCCCCACAGTTGTCCATGGGGCAGCTGTCACTAGTGGTGGCCCTGGCATGGCCCTGTGCTGGGGAGCCAGGCGGAATCAGGTCCTTCCCTGCCCTCTCACCCCCTTGGCTCCATGAGACACACAGGGCCCGGGGCTGGTGCTGACGTATGGCCATATTTGGCAGCAGCTGGACACCTCCTCCTTGGCGTAGCCTGTCAACGTGGCCAAATGCCAGCCAAGGCAGGCATGTGGTCCTCCCCAGAGCCTCCAGGCCCAGCCCCAGGATAGCCCGGGGTGGGGAATGTGGGCACAGCCTGGGACCCTGGCTCTGGGCACTGCTGGCATTGCCACACAGCAGCGCTGGCCCACAAGGATGCTCCAGAGTGTGCCCACAGACCTGCGTCCTCCACCCAGGGTGGAGACCCTCATTCCGATACTACAGCAAGTGGTCGGCGCTATTTGGAGCGGTCATCTCTGTGGTCATCATGTTCCTTCTCACCTGGTGGGCAGCCCTCATTGCCATCGGCGTCGTCCTCTTTCTTCTGCTCTATGTGATCTACAAGAAGCCAGGTGTGCAGTCTCTCAGGTCGCCCAGAAGCTTGGGCTCTCCTTTTCCCGGGGGGTGCCAAGCCAGCCATCCTGCCCTTCAGCCCAGCCAGGGGGCCTGCATCACCCTCCAGCCTCATGGGGTGAGGAGCCTATGGGAACATGCCCACTCTGAGCCCACACCTCTTCTTCTGGACTGTCCTCCTGCCACCCAGGACCATGAAATTGCCTGCCCAGGGCCATCCTCTTGAAGTGGCCAGCCCACTGGGGTACGCACCCAGCCCTGGCTGACCAAAGGGCAGGTGGACACGGTGTGGTATCTACATGCACGCAAACAAGGATCCCAGGGTGACAGTGCCCGGTTGGGGACAGGATATGGAACTCCAGGAAAGCCTAGAATTCTCAATTCGAACCTGGCTTTCCAGGGTATTGTCTGTTTGTCAAGGGAGGAGAATGTTTTGTAGAGTTTAATACTTGGAAGTGTAACTTAAACATGTAGCCATATGATAGGTGCAAAGGTCAGGAAGAGATCTGCAGGCTGTCCACCGGCCAGGCGGCCCAGCTTCCACGGTGCTTGATTTCTAAACAAGGTCAACGCTCCCTCCCTCTGCACGGCTGGTTGGCTGGTTCCTCCCGGGGCTTGCTTTTGTTTTCTTCCCCACCAAGATTTTATTTATTTATTCATGAGAGACGCAGAGGGAGACTCGATCCCAGGACCCCAGGATCATGACCTGAGCCAAACCCCAGACGCTCAAGCCCTGAGCCACCCAGGTACCCCTCTCCCGGGGACTTTCTAATCTTGTGGCCCCCCCCCCTGCTCAGAGGTGAACTGGGGCTCCTCGGTCCAGGCCGGCTCCTACAACCTGGCCCTGAGCTACTCGGTCGGCCTCAACGAGGTGGAGGACCACATCAAGAACTACCGGTGAGCGCAGCCACGTCCCTGCTCTGGGAGGGCTCCTGTCCCCAAGTAGGCAGACCCCGGGGTGGGCCCCACCCAGGCTCCGAGAGGGCCGCACCCGCCTGCGGTCAGGGGCCCGCGCTGACGTTGCTCTGCGGGGACCAAGTGAGTCTGGTGACCTCTCGGTACCTGAGTTTTCACAGCAGAATATGCTCCCGGAGACGCAGAGGGCCATGTCAGGACGATCTGGTCTTGTGGTCCCGTCGCAGTCATCCGCCAGGCTGACTCCTTAGCGAGGACAGTGTCCGGGAAGCCCTCCCACCAGAGCTCGTGCCAACCGTCGGCCGCGTGGATTTATGTTGCACTGCTGTGCGGAGGGCCTTAGGCCACCTTGCCACGACCCCCTGGGGGGTGAGGTCACTGACCCCGTCACCCATGAGAACACCGACGCACAGAGATTAAGTAACTGCCCTGAGGTCACACAGCTGGTGGGTGACCAATTTTTTTCTGGCTCCAACGGAGTCTGGTAGTGGCCCCAGACCATGACCCTTGGCCTCTTCATCCAGAGGCCAAGTCACCCACCCACGTGGCACAGGGATCTTGCATGTGCCGTGCCTCCCTGTCCCAGTCTTTGCTCTTCCCTGCACCTGCCTCCTGCTCCCAGACGCCCGTGGGCTCTGCCCAGGTGGCTCATGTGCTTTTGCCTCCCCCTCCTCAGCCCCCAGTGCCTAGTGCTCACGGGGCCCCCCAACTTCCGCCCCGCCCTGGTTGACTTTGTGGGCACCTTCACCCGGAATCTCAGCCTGATGATCTGTGGCCATGTGCTTATCGTGAGTGGCCCCTATAGGTGGGGGAGGTGTACCCTTGGAGGCGCCCCTGGGCATGAAGTCCACCTTGCATGGGGGGCAGAGAGTGTGGGGAGGAGTGGGGGGCAGAAGGGGCAGTGGAGCAAGCTGTGGGCCCAGCCGTCTCCCCTCCCTTGCCCCAACCCTCGGCTTCTCCCCGCTGCCCTGCCTCTTGCTTGTTCCCTCCATCTTCCTCTCTCCTCCCTCCTCCTCTTCTTTCCCTCCCTGCTCTGACTCCAGTGGGGAAATGGGCACCTCTGGGGGTGGCTGAGCCCATGGGGCAGCCTCCAGGGAGGAGATTTGCTGAATCTCACCAGGCCAGAGGGTGAAGGCAGCCCCTGACATCACGGCCGCCACCGCCCACAGGGACCCCGCAAACAGAGGATGCCCGAGCTCCGGCTCATCGCCAATGGGCATACCAAGTGGCTGAACAAGAGGAAGATCAAGGCTTTCTACTCAGATGTCATCGCTGAGGACCTCCGCAGCGGCGTTCAGATTCTGATGCAGGTGCCACGGGGTTGAGGCTTCGCCACAGGGTGTATTACTTGATGTGACAACCTGGAAGGCGGGATGTCCTGAGAGGCTAGTTGAAGTTCCTTTTGCTGCAGCAGGGGTCCCTGCCTTTCTTGTCTCTCCAGATATGCTGATTCACGGCACTTTCTTCGGGTGCCCAAGAGCCTAGGGGAAACTGACCTGGAAGCCTGTGAGGCCTGCGTGACCTTGAGCAATTCTTTTTTATTATTATTATTAAATATAATATACAGACAGCAAAGTGAAAAATATTAAGTGTATCATCTGATAAATGTTTACGTATGCAGATACACCCAGTGGTGTGAAACCCCACTGAGATCAAGTTCTAGAACGTTCCATTGGGCAATTCATTTTACTGCTCAGTTTTCTCAGCTGTAAAATGGGATGCATAGATAAAATAACAGTTGTCGATCCTGAGCCAACATATCAAAAGTCTCTCTAATAATTCCAAATATGTCTCATTTTTTAAAGAAAAGAACATACAGGGTCTTCTTTTGGGAGTATGAAAATATTTTGGGAGTGGATAGAAGTAATGGTTGCACAGCATTATAAATATACTAAAATTCTACTGAATTATACCCTTTAAAATGGTTAATTTTGTGTCATGTGAATTTCACTTCAAAAATTTTTTTAACATTTTGAAACATTAAAAAAAGAAATATGAAAGATGTATGGGTAAGATGGCCTGGGGATATTCTAAGCTTGGTATCCAAATTTAAGTCCCTTGTGATGAGAAATTATTTGCTAGAGAAGCAGGAAGTGGGATAATCCAGAGCTCATGGGGACAGTCCAGTCATTGTAGCTTCTGGCTGTAGCTTCACCTTTCTCATGGGTGTGTCCAGGCCAGCAGGACCCTGACCCTCAGGATGTGATTCCTGAGCCCTCACCACCTAGTGAGGAGGGCAGGTGGGACTGAGAGAACAGCACCCCTGTGGGGCACGAGGCCTAGTCCCTCACCTCCCCCCACACCCTTTTGCAGGCCGCAGGTCTTGGGAGAATGAAGCCAAACATTCTGGTGGTTGGATTCAAGAAGAACTGGCAGTCGGCTCACCCGGCCACGGTGGAAGATTACATTGGCATCTTGCAGTGAGTGAGGGCATGAGGGAGGCAGGGCCTGGGGTCTGTTATTTGGGCCTTTGGAGTTTCCTGGGCCTTGGGAAGCAGAGGGGAAGCAGTGGATGTTATAAGAAGCTGGTCCAAACTTGAGAAAGGAACAGACCCACTGAGGGCTCGCCACTCTGACCTATGGCCTGTGGACACCAAGGTGGGCAGGGAACAGTCAGGGAACACAGTGAAGGGGACCAGGTGTGGGACCACAGGGAGCAGTGAGGACTGTGGCAAGCTGCAGTAAAGCTGCTACTTGGCTCCAGCCAGTTGTGTGCACACAGAAATGTGAGCCCAGTGTTGCCAGATATTCTGGCTTCTCAGAGAAATTGAAAAGGTAGGTTTTTAGGTGAAAACCTTGTGCCCACCTGTGAACTCTAGAAGGCCTGCTGACAGCCAGCTCTCAAGCTGTGAGGTGGTGCTACTGAGCAAGAAGCAAAACCAGGCCTCCCAGGAGGCAGTAGTGTGAGGAAGGGGACCAGGAGGATAAACTCCCCAGGGATTTCAGGGTGAACCCCAAACCCTTTCTCCTTTAGCTCCTCCTGTGCAACCTCCTGAAAATGCCTGCCTGAGTTGCTTTTCTGTGTTGACATGGTACAGAGAGGCAGCGTGTAGTAGAGTGTAAAGAACAAAGGCTAGGGCACCTGGGTGGCTCAGTTGGTTGAGCATCTAACTCTTAATTTTGGCTCAGGTCATGATCTCAGGGTCATGGGATCGAGCTCCATGCTCAGCGGGGAGTCAGCTTGGGATTCTCTCTCTCCCTCTCCCTCTGCCCCTCCCAACCTGCTCGTGCCTGCTTTCTCTGTCTCTCTCTCTTTCTCAAATTAAATAAATTAAAATAAAAATGTTTTAAAAATTAGTAAATAAATTGAAAGAAAGAAAAAGAACAAACTAAGGGAGTGTTGGGGACCTGGGACCTGCTTCCAGGTCTGCTATGACCCAGCTCCCTGACCCTGAGCCGTGCATCTCAGTTGCCTCCGACAAGGACAACAGGCAGTGGTGGAACATTTGTCCTTCAGCACCCACCCCCCTGGTTCCAGTGCTCCAAGGCACCAAAATACTGGGGCCTGAGAAGCGCCCACCCCAGAGATGTCTAGCTAAAGGAGGCCATGGGGATCCCTGGGTGGCTCAGCGGTTTAGTGCTGCTTTCAGCCCAGGGTATGGTCCTGGAGACCCAGGATCGAGTCCGCGTCGGGCTCCCTACATGGAGCCTGCTTCTCCCTCTGCCTATGTCTCTGCTTCTCTCTCTCTCTGTATCTCTCATGAATAAATAAATAAAATCTTAAAAAAAATAAATAAAGGAGGCCATGGAGGCAATGCTTAGCCCATCAGATCAAGCCTGACTGGTCTCTGGGGACCTCTGTCCACTGGGCAGTGAATAGACTTCTGAGGTCGGAGTCTTCTAGACATTCCCTTTAGACAAGCTGTTGTTGCCCTCCTGAGCAAGGCCATTCCTGTGTGTGCCGGCCCTCGGGGATCAGTCTCAGCTATTTGATTCTAAGCCAGCTGGCCACTTCCTTAGCATGGACCACAGGCAAGTTACTCAGTGAAACTCAAGTCTTGCTTCTGTAAAATAGGGGTAAGGATTCCCATCCCACCTCTGTTGGCAGCCTGTGCAGATTATCTGAGCATATCAGGAGGACAGGGCTTGCCTTGAAGACTGGCCTGACTCGGTTTCCCCTGAGTACAGGGTCCAGAGCATCCCTAGTGCCACAAACTGTAGAGCTAGGAGGGTTCTGGGGGCCTCCCCAGCTCTGCTTGCATGTTACACAGGTGGGAAGATCAAGGTGCTGAGAGAGGAGGGTATGGTGGGAGGCGGGGCCAGCTCTAGACATCTGGTGTCTGGGGGCTGGGGGCCAGAGGAGCCTGACCCCATCTCTTGTCTTTCCAGCGATGCTTTTGATTTCAACTATGGTGTGTGTGTCATGAGGATGCGAGAGGGGCTCAACATATCAGAGGTGATGCAGGCACACAGTGAGTACATGCCCCACCTGCTTGGCACCCCTGTTCAAAACCAGAACAGCATCCCAGAGAGTTCTAGAACCTGATATTTTGTAAGTGGTGGAAGGAAGAGAGGGGGGAATTAGTAAGGAATAAAAGCCTAAAAAGTTGGCTTTTGATGGAGTCTCAGAGTTCCTCAAGTTTCCAAATGAAGACACTGAAGCCCAGAACAGGGACATGACTGGTTCAAGGTAATGCTTCCATCTGGGGCAGAATCAAGACTGGACCTCAGAGCTCCCCAACCACTATCAGGGTTTTTTATAACCAGATGGCATAAAGAGGATCTAATAGAGAGGAAGGACAAGAGAAGAGAAAGGAGCGTGCCCATGTAAAGATGCCAGAGCATGAAAATACATAGAGACCAGAGCCTGGACCCTTTGGTCCCTAAGACCATCTCTGGGCTGCTGAGTAGGGATGTTTTACATTTAGTCACACAGGAATGCGCAGGTCGGGGGTGGAAGGAGCAGGAAGGGAAACACCTGGGCGCAGCTGGGATGACGCTGCTCCTGTGCAGCTGAAAGAAATCACAGATAATACAGGAAACAAATGGGAGTGGGATGGGGGAGGTGGGTGAGAGTCGTGGAAGCCACATTTCTGGCAGGTGGGGCCCGGGTGGTGTCGATCCGGGTCACCCTGGGCAGACAGCATGCCTGGCACACAGCAGCTGTTCAATGAAAATTGGCGCAACTGGTATTCACAGAGCAGCGGCTGTGCTCCCGTCGGATGCTGCACTAGGTGCTGGGGGTGCAGCCGGGAACAAGGCCAGATCTGCCCCCTGGGGAAGCTGGGGTTCCCATAGGAAATGCAGTGGCCCCATAATTCATTTCAGACAGGGACACTGACACAGGGCAAGTGGCCAGACAGGCCCCTGGACGAGGGGGACGTCTGCGGAGCAGGGGAGGGCTGTGAGTGCTCCTGGCTCAGGGGACTGATGCAGGGGCAGGAGGAAGCCAGGTGGGGCTGCAGCATGCAGGGCCAGTGGGGGGGGGCAGGGGCCAGATCAGGGGAAGGTGACGAGTCAGGACAGCATAGCGGGTGGCCCAGAGAAGGAGCACAGAAGTGCCCCAGGTCAAGGAGATCTCGGGAGCAAAGCTACCCTTCTCTTGCAGTTAACCCCGTGTTTGACCCAGCAGAGGACAGCAAAGAAGCCAGCACCAATGGGGCCAGGCCATCTGTCTCAGGCACGCATCAGTCTGCACCCCACTCCGAGGCTCGGGGCGCTCTCATCCCATGGGGCAGCTGGTGGTGGGCCATAAGGGAGCCTGGTCACACGGGTGGGAAGTGCCGGAGACCCCTGGGCACCGGGTAACGGGGAACCGGGGTGATAGGCTTGGGCGGCATTCAGCCTTCTAGCCCTCCTTGGGAATTCGGGGTCCTGGCACCATGGGGACCCACCCAGCTGACGCGGGGGCCCATGCCCCACCCCTCCGGGGCCCCCTGGCCATGCTCAAATGTTACAGGCGGGGAGGCTGGAGTAGCTCCTCCAGCCCTTCCCCACGGTGTGCTGGGAAGCAGGGAACGGTGCTGGCGCCAGCGGCATCCTGTGGGGTGAAGGGCACAGAAGAGGGTCTCAGAGAAGGGTCCCTGCTCTCCAGTGCTCACCAGAATCCGGGGAGACAGACACTGGGAGCAAGGCAGGGGCGCATAGCCCTGCTCCTGGCCCACTGCCTGAGAACCGGGTTGCAGGGTCTCACTGTCTGAAGAGCTGGTGGTGCTGCTCTGGGCCAGTCCCCACCACGCACGCCTGCAGTGGGGGCTTCCTGCTGCTGTGTGCTTGGCCTGGATGACAGCGAGCACACCTCTAGGGGCAGCTGGCTCCGTTGTCAGGGTCAGGCATCTCCACAGTGACCAGGCCCTCTGCTCCTGCAGTGGACCCCGACGCCCTGGTGAGGGAGGAGCAGGCCAGCACCATCTTCCAGTCTGAGCAGGGCAAGAAGAGCATAGACATCTACTGGTTGTTTGATGATGGAGGTGAGTGGCCCCCGGGTCACCAGCTCTCCCTGGGATTGTCTCCCCTCCACAGCCTTCCTTTCATGGCCGCTCTGGACAAGGCACCTGGAGGGACCTTGAGGCCCAGCAAAGCAGACAAGGGGCCTTTGGGTTCACCTCTGGACTGGGGGAAGCCTGGCTGGGCTCCTCTGCTTGGCTATAAAATGGGGGACTTGATAGGAAGAGCTGAGGCCAGCATGGGATGGAAGGTTCAGTCAAGACGGACCTCAGGGTCACAGGCCCATACATGGGGGAAGCTGTAGGGATGTTCTTCACTTCCCCCCAAAATACGCCCTCTCCCATTTTTCTTAAGACACATGCTTTATCGTTTCACCTCTGAGAGAGCCCTACATAGACAGAAAATGCTTCTGTTCCAGTAGCATGGATCTCATTGATGACAGCTTATATAGACCAAACACTTACTATATACTTGACACTAAGTCCAAGCGCTAGGCAGGAACTATTATGAGACTCCTTTACAAATAAGGAAACTGAGGCATAGAGCAGTGAAGTAATTTGTCCCGGGTTACATAGTGATAAGTGACAGCTTCGACATCATCTGGAGAGAGGACAAGGAGGGATGAGGGTTCCTACCCACTGGTCAAATCTTTAATCTTCAAAAAAAATGCTGGAAATCCAGATTTTCACATGAAATGTGAAATGTCAGCTCACCTATATAAAAACATCTTGCAGGCCACATGAACCCCAGCCCGCAGAGCCTGTGTGCCACTCGGGTATAGTCTAGCACCCTCATTACACAGATGGGTAAACAGAGGCCCACAGAGGGGAAGAGGTGTGCCAATGGCAGAGTGGGGAGGGGACCCAGAGGGTGCTCTGTCCTGAGAGCAGCTCCCTTGTGATTGATGGGGACCCTCCTTGCCAGGCCTCACCCTCCTCATCCCCTATCTTCTCGGCCGCAAGAAGAGATGGAGCAAATGCAAGATCCGCGTGTTCGTGGGGGGGCAGATCAACAGGATGGACCAGGAGAGAAAGGCGTGAGTGGGGAGTACTGGTGGGGGGCCACACAGTGCCATCCCAGCTCTGCCCAAGTGTGTCCCCTCCTGCTTTCCCCCACCTGCACCCCCCCCCCCACCCCCGTCCCACTCCAGGCCATGACAGATTCAGCTCTCTCCAGGTCATAGCAGTAGTGAGGGACCTCTTGGCAGGAGCAGGTTCTGTTCATTCTGGAAGTTGTTTTGCTGACCCATCCTCCCTTTAATAAGATCCAGATGCCCTAGTTCCAGCCACAACAGAGAGGAGTGTTAAATTTTAAAACCACCATTTAAAATCTGCTCAAGAGAAACCTTGAAGGATGGAAAATCCCTTCCTGCTGCAAAACAAGGTGGGGCTGAGGATCCTTCAGGGCAACGTCCTCCCTCTCCCCCTAGGGAGCTTGGGATGCTCTCCCTGGTGAGACAGGAGGTGACTTTAGTGGCCAGGAGTTGGGGCAGCAAATCCCACTGAATTTGTAGGTGAGAAGTGACTTTTGATTCTCTTCCAACCGTGCAGCTCATTCCGCAGAAGGGCTCTCTGCTCGGGAACCCAAGCTGATCTGTCTCAACCAGAGAGGACAGGCCAGGCTGGGGAGCTTGGCAGGCAACAGCAGCCAGCCAGAATGTAGTCGCATTGGTTTATTTACTTGGGTTCCATGGATCGCCTCTTTCTGGCAAGAGACGCTGGTTTTCTGTTGAAAATTGCCACGTGAAATTTCCTTTCAAGATGTGGCTAAGTGAGAATGTGAGTTGATTTAAGCTGAAAAGGAAGGAAATGGTAAGGCAGGTAGACAGGTGTGGGGTCGGGCAGGTGGCCCATGTGTGCCTGGAGCTGGCCAATGGCTTTGCTTAGAGCAAGGTCAAATGAGGTTGAAGGTTGTAGGATGGAAGACTGCTTGGAGGGGCGGGGCTTGCTCTAAGTAGTGGGATAAATTAGCCAAAGAGAAGAAGCTCTGCCCAGCCCCCGGTGAGCTCTACAGCAACCCCGGCCATGATGGGGGGGGGGGTGCCAGGACCCTAGGGCGTGTGCCACCAGGAGCACATCCCCGGGACCTCTTCTTGGTCACCCCCTGTGTGAGTTAAGGGCGACCAGCAATCCCATCTCCTGGCCCTCGCCCCCGTGGAGAACCTCTGGCCCAGAAGGCCCTTCTCAGCAAGTGCTGAGAAAAGCGTTGCTTGAGAAAAGCAGCATGTGGCCTCTCTGTGATCTCCAGAAGATAAAGAAGTCAGGAGGGCTGCTTTGCTGGCTCAGCTTTCCATTCCAGCCCTGAATGGAAGCGGGGCTCAGCAGGTTTAGTTTAGTTCAAGGCCATGGCACCATGGGGTCCTGGGGTGTCCCGAATGTGAAGGTTGTGGGATGTCCTCTGCCTCCCAACTGTCCCACAGCCAGGCCAAGCCCTCTGGCCTCCTTGTGACCCTGTGGCCAAGCTGGCACTGCCTCTGGTCCGGGCCCTGCCCAGGCCTGCCACCCCCACGCTGCATACCAGCACATCTGCCCACGGCTCTGCTTTCCTAATTTTGCTCTCAAGTTCAGGAGGACCAGCCATGGCTTGATGGCTGGCCATGGCCTGGTCCTTACGGTTTATCCCCAGCTCCTGCACCCCCCAACCCCAGCCAGTCCCTCACTGCTCCCGCTTTACCTTCTGTACCCCCATCCCCTCATTCGTCTGGACTTCCCACCCCCACACACTCAACCCTACGTACTTGTTCTGGGGGTATCCCCAAAGCCATGTCCTGCCCAGTCATTCTAATGCACTGGGTTGGATAGAGCCAAGGCAGGTTTATCATCTAGAAGGCTCCTTGGCTCATTCCACATGGATACCCCCCCACACACCCTCTTTGGCCTATAATAATCTTGCACACCATCCAGCTAGACTGCCACCTCCTCTGTGAAGCCTTTCATGATTGCCACCACCCGCAGATGGCATCTCCTCCCCTGTTGCATGCAAAGTCAGTGCCATGTGGCTCTCCACTCCTCGTTCTATACCTAGTTCACGTGTGTCATCTCTGTTTCCGCGGTCCACCCTGCAGTTTCCTGTGGTTTACCTTCCCATCCCTTAGACCCTTGCTCCTCAAAGTGTTCTCCATGGATGAGCAGCATCACACCGCCTCGGAGCCTGTCAGAATGCAGGATCCCAGGCCCCACCCCAGGGCGGATGAATCAGACTGTATTGTAACCAGGTCCCTGGCAGACGTATAGACATCGGGATGTAAGGTGTGCTAGTCCAGAGATGGCCACCAGGTCCTTGGGGGAAATACTGTTCAGTTACTTTTCCACATCGCTTGTCATCCTCTGATCTACTTTATCAATATTCGTTTTCTGTCCACCCCCGCCCAGGAGAGAATGTAAACTCCCTGAGGCCAGGATTTGATCTGTTGTACTCGCTGCTGGATCCTCGGTAGACACAGCACAAATTCATTGAATGGAATAATACATATTTAGGGACACCTGGGTGGCTCGGTCAGTTGAGTGTCTGCCTTCAGCTCAGGTCATGATCTCAGGGTCCTGGGATCGAGGCCCTCCTTGGACTCCCTGCTCAGCGAGGAATTTGCTTGTCTCTCTCCCTCTCCCTCCCCTCCCTGCTGCACACACACTCTCTCTCTCAAATGAATAAACAAAATCTTAAAAAAAAAAAAAGTATTTAAAAATCTCCATCTTCCAGGATCATTTCCCTGTTGAGCAAGTTCCGACTGGGATTCCATGAAGTTCACGTCCTTCCCGACATCAACCAGAAGCCGCGGGCTGAGCAGTAAGTTCTCTGTGTTGATGTACTTCCCAGGCAGAAGGGCCAGCTGTGTGTCCCCTTTCTGTCTGTCTGCGGAGCCAGGCAAAGGCTTCTGTCCTTCAGCCACCGAGATGGGGGGGGGGGGTGGAGAAGGGTAGGAGTTTGCAGCCCTTTATTTTCCTGTCAGGGGTTTCTTCCTTTGCATATCAGATCACAGCTCTGGCCTTTGCCCGAAACACACCTGGGCTGGTTGACAGGGACAAGGAAGGTTCCCGTTTGTGCTTTTCTTAGAGCAAGTGTTTCAAAGCTGGTGCTCGTCTGGGCTGTTCTGCTGCTAGAGCCAAGGCAGGTGTTTCGTCCTCAAGGGACCCCTTGGACCGGTGGGGAGTGGGGGAGGGGTCTTGCTTGCTACTCAAACATTTCTAGAGTTTAGCCAACACCCTGAAGGTTTTCATAAAGCCGTGGTTCTCAAACTTCGGCCTGTGTCAGAAACTCAGGGAGGGCTTATGAAAACACAGCTCGCTGAGTCCCCCTCCTCCCGCCCCACCCCGAGATTCTTGAGTCAGTAGGTCTGGGGCAGGGCCTGAGAACCTGCGTTCCTAGCAAGCTCTCAGGTGCTGGTCCAGGCACTTCAAGTGGAGAACCACTGTCCTAAAGACAGTCCGTGCAAAGTGCTTACAGTGCCACAGTGTCCAGCCCAGAGTAAATGCTGCATCGATGGCTTCTGTCTGCTTGTGGCTTCTGAGCTCTAGACCTTGACCCTTTCATGAGGTCTCGGCTCCACTACAGACTTGCTTCCTTCTCTGAGCCTTGCCCAACTTAAGTTCCTGAAACAGGAACTGTGACTGGACCAGCTCATCCTTTCCTGCTAGGTCAACAAAGAGGTTGCGGCAAAGCCCATTTCATGTCTACCTTTGCTGCAGTTGGCCATGGCCAGGGTTGGCACAGTCATGTGCTCAGAGACACAAGGCTGGAGGGCAGGGGCCATGGCACAGGCTTGTCCCTTCCATGGGGCTGAGGGGTTCTAGAGCAAACAGAACCAAATGTGCAAAGGCCCTGAGGCAGAAGTGTGGCCGCTACAGTCCTGATGTTATTTATATGAACACACGGGTTCTAGGGGTGGGGAAAATGTTGGAGGGTCTGGGCCACAACTCTCCTCTTCCCTCTCCGCATGGACTTTAAGCAAACCCCCCGAGAACGTGTAGCTAGGCTCAATGGCAGGATCAGAGGGATGACGCCTCACTTGCTCAATGATTCAATCCCTATTCTGAAACTAACATTTATAATCGGGCTTGCTTTTTGTAAATCCATGTGAACGAGGTTTTCTGGGACTCCATCTCCTCCGTAACATAAGGTCTGTCCTGACCTCTACGTCTCCCTTATAGTCCCCATCATCTGGAGACGGAAGGAACTCAAGAGGAGAAGAAAGGAACTCATCAGTGGTGATGGACACTGGGGCTCCTACCCTGTGCCAGGGTCGGGGGGGGGGGGGAGATGAGTAAATCCCAACACCCGGGGCCGCCAGCGTTTCCGCAGGCCCCACACAGGCTGGAGGAAGTCCAGAGCCACGGGGAGCGCTGCAGAGATGCACTAGAATGTGCGAGAGGATGCGGCTGTCTTGTTGGCCGAGGAGCAAAGGCTGGAGACAGGCCCGGAACAGAGGCAGCCGGGAATACCTTCCGGGTGGGGGAGGCCCAGGGGGCCGCAGACCCCATCCAGCAGCCCTGATCCTTAAAACCCCGGCCTTGGCCCTTCCCTGCCTCCACTTCCTGGCCTGCTCTCTCTTCCTTCGGGCAAACTTCTCCTCCAGAGACATCCACACCCACTGTGGCCACTTCCTCCCGGAGCCCCCACCGCCGCGCTCCCCCCACGGGCATCATCGCCCGCAGAGTCCCTCCCTCTCCCTCCCCGCTGTATCCCACACAGCAATCCTTCTTGAGACAGCTCTTCCTTTGGCTTCAGAGCCCTCAGCCTCCACAGGATTCCTCCTGCGGCAGTGGCCCTTCTTTCGGTTCCAATTGCCGGCCCTTCCTCCTTTGTCTGACCAACACTTGCCAGGGCCCTTGGGATTCAGCCCTGGACTCTTTTCTCATGCCTGTCCCCAGTGTGAGCTCATCCATCCACATGGCTGCAGGTGCCTTCCTCTGAAGGCCGACCAGTCCAAATTTCTATATATTTTTTAAAGATTTTACTTATTTATTTGAAAGAGAGAGAGAGCACACAGTGAGGGGAGGAGCAGAGGGAGAGGGAGGAACAGACACCCCTTTGGAGAGCTCCCTCCCAGGAACCTATGACCTGAGCGGAAGGCAGCCACTTAACTGACTGGGCCACTAGGTGCCCCCTCAAATTCCTATTTCTAATCATGGAAGTCAAGTCACACAGAACAGCCTCCAACAGCTTTCCATCTCACTCAGGGCAAATAGGGAAAGCCTGCCTGGTCTGGGCTCTCACACTTCTGTGTCCTCACCTCACCCCACTTTCCTCTGCACTCACCTTGCTCTGGCCAAACTGGCTCCTTCACTGCTCCTCAAGTAGACCAGACACACTTTTGCCCCAGGACCTTTGCACCTTCAGTTCTGTGTGGCCCAGCACCTGCTGGCCTGTAAAGAGCTAGCTGCAGAAAGACAGGCATCCTTCAGCCTCAGGGAGGCCTTCCCTGCCCCAAATATTTAATGTCCTGATACCTGGTTTGTGCCTTCATAAAACTTGTGATCTGGACTTGCCTAGTTACTGCCCAGCAGACTGTGAGCGCCGTAAATAGGGGGCATTGTAGGGTTTGTGCACTGGTGTGTAGCACAGAGCCTGGCACAGGATCGTGCTCAGGCACTACTCAGGGAGCGGTAGGGTGGGAGGAAGTGGATCCCAGGGCAGTCATTGCGGACAACTGGTGCAAGTCCGGTTGAATGCCAGACCCAGCTGCCTGTGCTGATTTCTACGTGGAAGTTGCTTTGATGGAAACCACAGGGGCAGAATGGGTTCAGCCTAAAAAGGGTGTCCCTCCCTGTGGCGCCCATCTCCATCTACCTCAGGGAACCTGGTTTCCCTGGAAACTGGGACATCTCACCCGGTCTCAGCTGCTCTCTCTGTCTCTAGCACCAAGCGTTTTGAGGACATGATTGCACCCTTCCGCCTGAATGACGGTTTCAAGGACGAGGCCACTGTCGCCGAGATGAGGCGGGACTGTCCCTGGAAGATCTCAGATGAGGAGATTAACAAGAACAGAGTCAAGGTACAAGAGAGAAGGGCCTGGCTGGGGTGGGGTGGGGGTCAGGGCGCTCCTCTGGGTCAGGGCCATGTGCCCCATCTGTCCTGAACTTCCTTAACGCCTTCCCCTTGACCGTCCCCCTCCACCATGCCCCAGCCTCTGAGGTAACCTCCAGCCACAGATGCGGGGTAAACTGGTTGTGGAACTCAGAGCCATTCTTGGTCCTTAGCCAGTGGACCCCACCCTATATGTAGCCTGAAGCCATGGCCACCCCTGGCCAGACAGTGTCTTCCAGATTCTTCAAGACCTACAAGAACAGTGGTGGCTGCTGTGGCCGCTTGAAGATGAGGCGAGCGGTTAGGGAGCTGGGGGGGGGGGGAGGTCACAGTTCCACTCCCTGTGTGCTCCAGGTCAGTGATCCCCTCACCCCACCTTGCCCCCCAGAGGACATTCGGCAGCTTTGGGAACATTTCTGGCTGTCACCACTGGAAGGCGGGATTGCTACTGTCACTTAGTGAGTAGAGGCCCTGGGACGCTATTAAACATCCTACAACCTGCAGGGCAGTTTCCACCATGAAGAATTCCACCTAGAATGTCATCAGCACAGGCTCTGGAGCCTGTGATCTCAGTGAACTCGCTTCCCCACAGTTTTCTGTTCTCTCAAAGGGGATGACCTCCCACGATCAGACTCCGAGCATCAATCATTTCTGAACACTCTGGAAACAGGCCTTAGGGTGGGAAGGAGTCTCACCCACAGCCCAACCTCACCCAAAGCTTTGGGGAACTCTGATCCGTCAGCCCTGAGGCCCTACCCTGAGGGCTCACAGCCCCTTGGAAAATACTGGATTCAGGTGTAGCATCCAAAGAAGGCTGTGGCCTGCCCTGTTGTGGTGGGGAGGGGGGCAGGAGGCACGTCCCACTTCTGCTCTGAGTCGACCTTATCGGGGGCCTTCCATGTGCCAGGCCCTCAACATCCATGGGCTTTTGCATGGGCTATCTCCCTCGATGCTGCCCAAATTCCCCTGGAGGGGAGGTTATTGTACCCATTTTACAGTGAAAATAGTGAGGCTCAGGGAGGCCACGTGCCTTGCTCAGGTTCCCTCTGCTGTGAGCTATCGGGGCTGTGAGCTCACCCCACACCATGGCAGATGCTCTCTCTCCCAACTATGCCCCCCAGTCATGGAAATAAGGAAAAGCCAAGGAGGGTCTCCCAAGGAGGTGAACTTGGTACTCAGTTATCTGGGGGTCCCCTTCCATCTCAGAGGAAAGAGAGTCTGTGACAATTTAGGGGAACAGTTCAGGCATCTGGTGTGAAGTGTTAAAGGAAGCCCCCAGACTTGTCGGGGGCCCCTCTTGACGTTGTGGGCAGCGACCACATGGCTTCTCAATTTCTCCAGTCCCTTCGGCAAGTGAGGCTGAATGAGATTCTACTGGATTCCTCCCGGGATGCTGCTCTGGTGGTCATGTAAGTAGCCCCTGGGAGGTTGGGGGGAGCCCATCACAGAAGCCCAGGATGTCCACTCTGGGAAGGGGCTCGGGAAGTGCTCCCCCGCCGAGAACCCGAGCCCTTCCCCGCGAGGCCGAAGGGCCCAAAGCCCCAGGAGACAGCCCAGGTGGCTTCTTGGCCGCTGGCCGGGCCTGCTCGGCTCCACACCCCTCGCCTGAGTGCCAGCTGGCAGAGGTCGAGGACCTCACACGACCCAGGCCTCACCAACCCTCGTCACCACCATTTTTCCTCTGTTCACCACCTTTTCCTGCCAAACTCAGCTTGGCAGGGAGGACCCCGCTCGTTCCAGAAGAAAATCAATTCCTGGTTATTTGGGAATCACCCAGCCCTCTTTGGCCACGGGCCAGCCCTGATTGATGTTGGCGCCAAGCCTGGGCAGCAGAGGCAGAGGCCCGCGGTGCCAGGCTCCATGCCTGCCAGGCCCTCCGGCCTCCGCCACCGCTGCTCCTTGTGTCAAGCTCTGAGCCACTCCAGGGGGATACGGGCCGAAACTGGGTAGGTGCAAGGTGAGGCGAAAGGTGGCAGTGGCGGAGAGGGCCTCGAGGTGGCTCTATTCTCAGAGGCCAGGTCAGCCAAGCCCTCTGAGGCCCCTCTCCCAGAGCAGCCTAGCTCAGGGGGTCGGGGGTAGTTGGCAAGGCGTGTTCCTGACCTGGCTTACATTTCCTGAGGGCTGGCCACCTGGGAGTTCCTCAGGACAGCCAAGAAGCCTGCAGAACCTGTTTTCTCCTACCCTGAAACCAGGATCAAGCTCACCATTTATGGCCCCAGTGCACAATGAAAATGTGGGGCCTCTTGTTAAAACATTACTAAGAATGGCAAGATGGCAGCAGCAGAGGATTGAACCCAGCCCGGGAGCCTTCTAAGTCCAGGGGAAGGGGTAGGGGCATGTGACTGCACAGCCTGCACCCCCATGAAGCTGGCTCTGCCGGAACAGTGCTCCCTGGGGCTCGGAGGGAGATTACTTTTTTGTAGAGAAAGTACCTCATGTTCCCTCGATGTGGGAACTGTAGTAAGAGAAAGGGCTGCATTTCTCTGTGAGCAGAGAATGTTCCTAGGGCAAGGCTGGCCTAGGTTGTGGACTGGGTCAGAGTGCGAGATGGGACAACTCTCCAGAACTTTCCTTGAGTGTGGTACCTGGAATGTGCCAAATAGCCTCTTCTTGAGTACCACCCATGTTCAGAGAAGCAGGTTTGCACTTTGTCTTTGCTCACTGTGTGGCCTTGGGCAAGTAATCCTATTTCTCCGCATCTCAGTCTCCCTGATTATGAAGAAGAGTTCAGCCCAATTATTTCCAAGATTCTTCTTCACTCTTACATGCTGTGATTTTAAGTTTATTTGCCACTAAAGTAAATCAGTCTCTCAAGCCATAAGATGAGAAATTTCATCCTGAGAGGTGAGCATCTGCTGGACCTCTTCCACCCCACTCCCCTACCCCCCAGATTTCAGACAGAAAGCCAGTCCCCACCTACCAACCTTTGGGAGAGTAGTTAACACAAATAATCATGAGTCCGTCACTATTTTTTTTAAGATTATTTATTTATTTATTTATTTGAGAGAGAGAGTGTGTGCAATCAGAAGGAAAGGGAAAAGCAGACTCCCTGCTCAGTAGGGAGCCTGATGTGGGGCTCAGTCCCACAAGCCCTAGATTGTGACCTGGGCCAAAGGCAGACACTTCACCAAATGAGCCACCCAAGTGCCCCAAGTCCAGTCACTCTAGAAAGAGGCCTGCACATGGCATCCCACCCCATGGTCATGACACCAACTACAGCTACTGCCCGAAGAGGCCCCGGCTGTCGGGCCACCTTCACCAGGAGGGCACAGCAGTTGCATCTTTGCATTACCAGTCTAAAACCCAGAGACATGCCCACCCAGTGTTTCTAAAAGTTGTCAGGATCACTTTCATTGGCACCAGGATCTAACAAATTCTTCAGTTCCTTCCAGATCAGGGTCTGAGGTGGAGGAATTGCATTCCCCAGAAATTCTGAGGAAGGAAAAAATTCTCCCCAGCCTTGAAGGGAAAGATAAAATTACAATTTGCGGCATTTTGAGGTGTGTACTCAGACCATTTTCTAGAGCAGGTTTGGGGCAGAACTTGGTTGGTTGTTGTCTACCCATCAGCAGTTTATCTGGTTAATGGCCCGTGTTTGAGTTCAGCTTAATCTGAGCAGCTGATAGACCAGCCTTGTAAGATAATAAACCAACCCAACAACCTTTGCCTAGATGAACAACCTATTTCTGGTCTCACTTTTGGGTCTAGACCCCTCTCTTTTTCTATAAAGATGCCCTCTTCAAAGGCAAATATTAGTAATGAAATAATAATAATCAGCATTACATTTTATTGATTGAGCCACACTTGAGGCATCAGGCCTTAGTAATTTTCAAAACTCTCTGTGTTGGTTCTGTTTTACCCCACCCCCCCCGCCTCGCCCACAACACACACACACTTTAGAAAGAGGGAAACTGAGTCTCAGAGGAGTCAGGCAACTTGCCTGGGATGATCCTACAGCCGTGAAGTGGGGATTGGGTTTTTGAAGCTCTGGGTCCAGGTTAGGTCCAAGGCTGCCTTTGTGGCCAAGAGTTGCGAATCTGAACAAAATGTTCCTCTGTTCTGGAGCAGCTTTGTTTCTGAAGATTAGTAGCTGCCAGGGGACACATCCTGGGAGCAGGAGTCGAATGTCATTGACTGCCACAGGGGCGGAGTGCAAAGTGAGTCTCTTCCTTGGACGGGTGAACAGGTGGACAGGCAGACAGGCAGACAGGTGGACAGGCGGATAGGCTCAGCTGAGGAAGGGAACATGATGCTGAAGCCTGCAAGGCCACAGAATGAGGGATGGGTGTCCCCTGCCCCTGAGAATGCAGCCACTGGCCCCCTCTCGGCCTTTGAAATTTCTGAATTCAATGCCTGAGAATGAGGCAGGAGTTCCCAGAGAGCTTTGTCAATGTAACCAAAACCTCAGCATCACTGTGAAATCAGGAAAGCTTGGTTTCCATCTTTCTACTTCCCTTTCTCCTTGAGAGTCACCAGACACAAACATGTTCTAATTAAGGTGACACTAGCTTAATGAAATACCCCCGTTCCTGTGCCCTTTCCCCGTCGTGGGGATCTTGCTCTTAAAAAAAAAAAAAATTTATTTATTTGAGAGAGAAAGAGAGTAGGGGGAGGAGGAGCAGAGGAAGACAAGCAGACTCCATGCTGAGTGCAGAGCCTGATGTGGGGCTCGATCCCAAAACCCTGAGATCAGGACCTGAGCTGAAATCAAGAGTCAGATGCTGAACCGACTGAGCCACCCAGGCGCCCCTAGGTCCTTCCTTTCTACAGGAGGGTAGAGGTGATCCCAGGGGAGGCTTCGAGGATGGAATTTTAAGGCAGGGACAGGAGTTCAGGGACCCCTGTTGGCCTGCTCAGCAGAGGTGAGGGTCGCTGTGAGCAGAGGTGGCCGGGGAGGGAGGATCCCAGGACCTTGGGTGGAGTCCCAGCTCTGCCGCTCACCAGCTTGTTGTGTCCTGCTGCCAAACAGCAGTCAGTGCGACAACAGCTTACGGAGGGGAGGTGCTTGCCAGGAGCCAGGCCCTGCGCGGTGCCCTGTGTGTGCTTTGTCCTCTCTAGGGCTCACCAACACCCTAGGAGGGAGGTGTGTATGTCCTCACTCCAGGCAGGAGAAGACACAGGCTGAAGGCAGGGAGCCACCTGCCAGAGCCACGTGGCCGAGGAGGGGCGGGCCTCTCCCACGCTTCCCTGCGGCCAGAGTCACCCAGCACTGTCCTTTGTCCCCTCGACATGGGAAGAAGGCCAGTCCCACAGGCGCCGCCCCGTTCCCCAGGGTTGTGCTGAGCTTCAGATGAAATAGTGGCCAGGGGTGTCCCGGTAGGAGAACAGCCTGGAAAGTGCAGCCCCAGGGAGGTGCCGGTGCCTGTGAGATCCTGCCCTTGTCCCGCAGTCAGGAGCAGGGCGGCTGCGGTCAGTCGTCCTGAAGCATTTTTGGAATCGCAGGATGGTGAGAAAGTCACCTCCTGAAATGGCCGAGATTATGTGGCCCAACGGCAGCCCCAGGGCACCTCGTGATCTGCATGGCACTGCAGTGTGGACCAGGCCCGTCCCCCGGTTGGAGAGCTGCTCCCAGGGACCCCATACATGGCAGGAGGCTGGGCAGGGACACACATCACATCGTGGTGGCCACAGGCTGGCGTCAGCGGGTGGCCTGAGGGGGCAAGACCACGCACTCGATCAGACTGTGCTCTAGGCCCAGGGAAAGGGTGGCGAGCGAGACAGACCTGGCCTGGACATAGCGGACATACCGTCTGCAGGGGGAGACCAACAACAAACAAATGAAAAGAGTTTGGAGAGTGGGAAGGGTTGTGAGGACAATGAAACAGGGTGCTACGATAGAGGGAGACAAGCAGGCCTGCTCCGGAAGGCCCCTCCGCGAACCACCGACCGCCAACACCTGGCCTGTTCCGCGGGGGTTGACCCGAGAAGGAGGCACCGGTGAGCCAAGGCCTGAGTGATCTGAAGGAGCCAACCAGGTGGAGAGTGGGAGGCACTGCCTTCTGGGTGCGGAGAGCATCACACGCGGAGGCCCTGGGGCAGGAGCAAGCTTGCCATTCTTTTTTTCAGGAATGGAAAGAAAGCCATTATGGCTGTTGGGTTGTGAGCGAGGACAAGGGTAGGAGGAGGAGAGGCTGTGGGTGTTGGTGGAGACCAGATTGTGTGAGCCTTACAGGCCATGGCTTTGTTTGGCCACCAGCTTTGTGGCTGAAGGTACATTTGGAGTCGTGCTTTTAAGGAGAGCAAGAGGTCATTCTTAGGGCAGCTAGGAAGAAGGAGCAATGAAGGAGCTAGTAAACAAGCATTCCTGATCAGAAAGCTGGGCTGTGTGGGGAAGGGCTCCCGATAAGTCTTATCTGCTGCTTCTTCCTGCCTTGCAGTACCTTGCCTATAGGGAGGAAGGGGAAGTGCCCGAGCTCGCTGTACATGGCCTGGCTGGAGACGCTGTCCCAAGACCTCAGACCGCCGGTCATCCTGATCCGAGGAAACCAGGAAAACGTGCTCACCTTTTACTGCCAGTAATTCCAGGCTAGGATGCCCAAAGCTGAGGGTGCCTGGGACATCCACCCATCCGTGGGGACAAGATACGTGTCCTGTTATGCTTAAGCATCTGATGATCTGACTGAAGAAGCTGATAGATTTCCAAACTTTGGCTGGACCCCACTCCCAGTGGACCTGTCCTCTGGGCTTTGTTTGTATGGGCTAGAGAAGTAGTAGATGAAATTGTGTGGAAAATTCTCTGGTGGTTCCATTTTCCTTTTAAGTTTTCTTTTGATCTTGATTACAACAAATTAAGATTCCAGTCTTTGATTTTTTTTTTAAGATTTTATTTGTTTATTTGAGAGAGACAGAGAGAGTTTGAGCTGGGGGAGATGCAGAGGGAGAAGGAGAGAGCTCCCCACTGAACAGGGAGCCCAACACAGGGCTTGATCCCAGGACTCTGGGATCATGACCTGAGCAGAAGGCAGATGCCTAACCAACAGAGTCACTCAGGTGCCCCCAGTCTTTGATTTACATGCAAATGTAAGTTAGAGTGCTTAGTGTGCATGTGGCTGCCAGTCAGGAGGATGGGTGACCCCCTGCAGCCCTTACAAAGGAGGAATCACAGAGCCCTTTGAGCCTCCATGATGCAAATTTCTTTAACCACTTCTCACTCTCTTCACTTTCCATAATGTGTCTTCAGCGTTTGGGTTGGTTCTTTAGTAGACCAGGGACTCTTAAACTCATTTAGGTCGCAACCCATGGTAAGAAATATCTTTTATGCTGAGACTTGAAACAAACATACACTGAAATGATAAACGTGTCACAAAACAATACTTTACTGTGGGCGATGCACTCTGATATTTGCTGTTTCTTTTTCTCTTTTTAAAGATTTTTATTTATCTATTCATGAGAGACACAGAGAGAGGCGAGACATAGGCAGAGGGAGAAGCAGGCTCCCTGTGGGGAGCCCCAAGCAAAACTCAATCCCAGGACCTTGGGATCACGACCTGAGCCAAAGGCAGATGCTCAACCACTGACCCACCTAGGTGCCCCTCTTTTTTTCTTTATAATGTTGGTTGCAATCCACAAATGGCTGGTGACTCACGATATGTAGAAAGGCCATGTTAGGGATCATTGTCATTTCCCCAGCATGTCCTCCAGAGAAGGAAAGGCAATGAATAGCATATGCGAGGACAGGGTATGGTTGGTGGGCACACTGAGGAAGAGCTACAAAGAAGGAATGCGTGGGTGGCTCAGCAGTTGAGCATCTGCCTTTGGCTCAGGACGTGATCCCGGAATCCCAGGATCTAGTCCCACATCGGGCTCCCTGCATGGAGTCTGCTTCTCCCTCTGCCTATGTCTCTGCCTCTCTCTCTCTCTCTCTCTCTCTCTCTCTCTGTCTCTGTCTGTCTGTGTGTGTGTGTGTGTCTCATGAATAAATAAATAATATCTTTAAAAAAAGAGCTTCAGGGATCCCTGGGTGGCGCAGCGGTTTGGTGCCTGCCTTTGGCCCAGGGCGCGATCCTGGAATCCCGGGATCGAATCCCACGTCAGGCTCCCGGTGCATGGAGCCTGCTTCTCCCTCTGCCTGTGTCTCTGCCTCTCTCTCTTTCTCTGTATGACTATCGTAAATAAATAAAAAAAATTTAAAAAAAAAAGAGCTTCAAAGGAGGGGCAAGATTTAGGGTGTCTCATAGAAGGATGTTCACTTTCAAGTTTGAGTGGAGACAGAGGATAGAGGTATGGTTAGGGATGCAGGTCTGGTGGGTCAGGAATGGAGAAGCTGAGAAGGGGCATAAAGGTGACCAGATTGGCAAAGGATCAGAAATGCCCACAGCCCACCTCAGGCTGGAGAAAAGAACAGGGGAGGAGGAACTACCAGCAAAAGATGGAAGCAGAGGAGGCTGCAGTGGGGGTGAGTGTAGGATGGGGATTGCAGGGAACCTGGGGAAGAAGGATGTTTGGATACCCTCAGAGTTTTTGCACCAACCAAGCTGGGACACAAGAGCAGAATGTATATTAGGAGATGTGGGCAAGGCTCACTGAAAAGGCATTTCAGCTCTAGATGCACCCCAGCAGTAGACAAGTGGGTTCCTAGAGGGATACCACTGGCCGGGCCTTCTTGCAATAGCCGCTTTCTTCAGGGTGGATGAAGGAAGGAGGCATCTTTGGGTCTGATAGGCCCCCTCCAAGCCCACTGCAGTGCCCACTTAGTCACAAAGGCAGAAATCTCTTTTCTAGTGTCCAGACGCAAAGGACTTTAGTGTCTTGCAGGCGATCTCGCTGCAGAGACCAAAGGCTCTGGGCCCCCAGGCTTGTTATAAGTTGTTTCACATATCAGAACGTGTTGAGAGTGACCAAGTGCCTGGCTGAGCTCACTAGGATGGCTCCTCTGTTCTTGAGAGACCAGAGAAGTGTCCTGCCTCTGAGCCATTCTATAGACCTGGGACCAACCCCCAACCCCAGATAGGTGAAGCCTCACTCAGGGAAGGCTTGCCTTTCTAGAGCCACATCGAAAACTGCTTCCCGACAAATAGTTTATAAATAGATTGATGAGACCCTGATCCAAGGTCAGAGAATGCTCCAGCTTAGGGCATTAAAAGCAAGCAAACAAAAAAACCCACCAATTTTTGCTCTCTTGGAAACTACATTTTGAACAATGATAATAGCTTTGTTTAAAAAAAAAAGGCTTGGGGATCCCTGGGTGGCGCAGCGGTTTGGTGCCTGCCTTTGGCCCAGGGCGCGATTCTGGAGACCCAGGATGGAATCCCACATTGGGCTCCCGGTGCATGGAGCCTGTTTCTCCCTCTGCCTATGTCTCTGCCCCCCCCCCTGTGACTATCATAAATAAATAAATAAAAAATTTAAAAAAAAGGCTTGAGTTAACAGTAAGGTCAAAAACAATGAATAAAAAATATGTTCACTCAGTCAACAGAATTTATTTGTTTTGGAACATACTGTTTCTCAACTCTGCTGAGTGTTTTGAAAAAATTAACTGTGTTGTTTTCTCAACCCTGGCTGGAACTTTTCCCTGAGCTTTCACTGGTTCTTTAGGTCATATTGCCAGATTTCCACATGAACATTCATAGGAGCTGCTTATATTCCCTTTGCTTCTCTTTCATGTGTTTGCAGACTCACAGGGAACTCATTTTCTTCTGTTTTGATAAAAGTCTCTGAGTATTCTCAAGTTTGTCTCAAACTGAGAGGTGGAGGGGTTAAGTGGAAAGAGTCACAGCCTCGCCACCAAGAGACTTGGACCTGAATCTCTGTCTCCCCTCAAAATTGGCTGTGCAGCCTCAGATACCTCTTCACCCCTCTGGGCCTCTGTCTGTGAAATGAGAGAGCTAGGCCAGAACAGGTGTCAACAGCCAGCTGGCCTGCTGATGACTGTGATTTGGCCCACACATGGTTGATCAAAGTGGTGGGTGCTGGGGGTAGGATGGAGAACACAATCTGCAGTCATGCCCCACGCTTGGCTGCTACTTCCTACTGCCCTGCTGGGGGCTCTTGAAGGCTTTCCTAGTCGTTGTTGGTCCTATAGGGCACCAAAAAGGTAACAGATTTCAATCCCCAGTGTATCTCTCTCTCTCTTTCCCTTTGGGTGCTAAAAATCCTCCACCTTCATGAGTTTCAGCAGTGCAAAGTATTTCCCATATAGTCTTCCCTTGCATGGTACATGGAACAGGGCCCAGCAGCAGCCAACAGCCACACTGGCCACCCCAGTAGAGGGACCTCACCTATGTCCCCTGGGAGCCACTGTCTAGTCAGCTCTCAATTTTCTCCTCAGCATTTCAGCCTCCAGATTTCACATCTTCCTTCAATTCCTGCTCAGACTTGTGGCTTTGAAGTAATCACAGTATGGCCTATTTTTCACCCAATAGGCTTGCTGAGTTCTACCTCCCAGGCACAAAACAGTGGGCCTCATTATCACATGGAGAGTCCACATTTCTCTTTTACGCATCTGCCTGGCCTCTCTTGTGTGGTGAGGTAAAAGAGGTGACTTTTACAGGGCTGAGACTAGCTGGAATGTTCCAGAAGAACCACCTGACTGGGAGGTCCCCTAGCACATGCAAAGCAGTCAGGTTTGGTTTATAGCTATGGTTAGCACAGGAAGTCACCAAAAAAGCTGCTAAATTCAGCAATGTTCATAGAAGCGGGATGTGGGAAAGCCCAGGCGCTGCTTCATTGGTAATTCTCCACTTGAAGTGAAGGTTAATCTTATGATTGAAAGAACAAGCATCATATAAGCCCCACTTCCTGAAATGGAGCCAAAATATCAGTTTCTAAAATATCAGTTTCTAAAAATATCATGTGGGTAGAGTCTTGAGAAGAGCCACCTGGCTTAAAGGACAGATAGCAGAATGTCATACAGATGAAGGATGGTGTCAAGAGAGAACATGTGGTTTTTGTCCCAGCTTATAAGAGAATTACAAATAAAATGTTCTAAGGATGTGAAAGAGGGAGCAAACACATAAGATCAAGGGAATTGGGCTAGTCTCTCTAGAGAAAATGGTATTTTGAATAGGTGTGAATGATTGGTAGGATTCTACAGACAGGTGGCAGGAGTAGTTTGAGCAAGGATCTGAATAAGGAAAGCCCTTGTTTGGAGAACAAGAAAAAAGCCAGTTTTCCTGGAGTATGAGGGCTGTATAGGTAGGTAAATAAGATCAGGAGAGCCATAATGTGGAAAGCCCCCACTTTGAGGCTGGGGAGCTCATAACTGACTCAGAAGCACTGGGGAGCCACTGAAGATGAAGGGGCAGATCTGAGCTTTAGGAAGCTTGACTGGACAAGAGATGGAGGAGGCTGGAATAGAAAAGGCAGGGCACCCAGGGAGGAAGTTGTATAGACTACAAAGGTAAATCAGTGAGGCCCAACACTCTTAAGAGTAGCAGAGGGCATGGAAAAGAGGGAGGAGGTGGAGGAGAGGGTGAAGAAATTGTACCTTCCAGAACTAGGAATTTCCTAGATGTATATGTGTTTGGAAATAGGGCCCCAAAAATGATGAGCCTGGGCAGCTGTAAGATGGAGAAACCATGTAATGTGGAGGGCAAGGTAACAGGCTTCCTGCTGGAGGGAGAGAGAGTAAGTGGGTCTGGTTTAGGATACTTGGAAGTGCGAAGTCATCCCAGTGGGCAGAATTGTGGTCCTGGAGCTCAGAGAGCTAAAGGTGTCTACTGTGAGCTGGGTGCTCTCTAAGAGACCCTACATAGATTTGGGAGTCACACTCATGAACAGAAACATTGAAGCCAAAGTTTGAGTGAGCTTATCAAGAGAGAAAGTACAGCGAGTGGAGAGGGTTTCAGGCTAGACCTTGAGATGGGCTATATTTAGGGGGCAGGAAGGAGGGGCAGCCAGCAAAGCAGCCTAAAAACCAGCATTGATGGGGTGGGGGGAGGAGAACCTGGGTAATCAAGCTCTCAGAAGGCACCAGAGAAAGGGACAAAGAAGCAGAGTGGACTCTCAGAGCAGCCGTCTGCAGAGGAGCTGAAGCTGCTAAGAATGCTGTTGAATTTTGGGGTATTGACATCATTAGGAGCTTTGCAGAGAATACTTTGGAATAGTGTTGAATCAGGGACCAGAGATTGAGGAATAATTTGTGGAGATTTTGAAAGCAGCATATGTGCATACAGAACTTACATACAAGAAACCCAGCAATGGAGAGAAATATTTGGAAAATAAAGTGGGGGAAAAATGAGTTGGAAACTTGAGGGAGAAGCAGATTCTATGTGTTCCTATTATAATTATCTTGAGTGTGTATCAGGCAGTACAAAGCTAGGCTATGCTGCAGTAACAAATTGCCCCCTAAATATTAATGATTCATGTGGCAAAGTTTGATTTCTCTTTTACAAATATCTCTGGGCTGGTTGGGCAACTCTTCCATGCCTCTCTTCTCCACGTCAACACCCCGTGATCAAAACTACTCCCATCTAGTGAGGACACCACCTCAGCCAGTAGCTTCCAGCTCATTGAGGAAAAGAAAAGAGAGCTGGAATGTCATGTGCTGGCTTCCAAATGCTTCAGCCCAAAAGTGACATGTCACATCCACTAGAAGTCCACTAGCCAAATCAATCTCATGGCTCCACCTAACTGCAAGAGTGCTGGGAAACTGAGGGGAACATTTGAATATTCATTGAGCAATAAATATCTCTATTACGAGGTAAGGGTGAGTAACAGAGACTGGGAGTATTTATAGGTCAGACCAGAAAGATTTAGGATGCAAGAAAGAAATTAATTGACGAAGAGGTAGTAACGGGGAATCGACAAAATATGGGAGATATTTTCCCTGTCAGCAGGAAAGGCAGAGCTGACATCTGCCAGCCTGAGGGTACAAAACTCTTAGGACACCTGCCCTTGTGACTTTCCCAGCAGGACTCCTGAACACCAGGGCAGAAAACAAACATGCAGAAGACAGGTGAGACATTCCCCAGCGATGGGGCTGGCCAACAAAAAGAATGGAAGGCCAAGGCAAGAGGGAGTCAAGGAGAATGATAAAAATACATGGAGATGGCTGACCATGAGCTCCAAGGTGGTTAGAGAGGCCAGAAGTGAACAGCAAGAGTTGAGGAGATTTTGCAGGGCTGGTAGTGTGAGGACAGAAAGGGTGATCGGTGGGAGTGGGAGAGAGGGAGACAGAGAATAAAACGGGGTAGTTTGTGGTCAGTATGTGTGCACTTCAAGGTGTGAGATTCTGCAGGAGGTAATCATTCTCGAGCAAAATCTAGAGTGTCCACCATTTGACTATGACATCTACAAAGGTAGTAACTGGGGTGAACATTTGGGTTATCAGATGGTAGTGAGATCTAGAAGTCTCAGGGGAGGGGCCAGGGCAGCTGGAAGGTACTCAGGATGGTGGCTGTTTACCAACTGTGTGGGATATTTCAATATTCTAATTACCGAGAGAGCTGAATGAGTGCATGTCAGCCATGAAGGCCACCATGTCTGATTCATCCAGCACCCAGCGCTGGGCTTGGCGTTAAAGTATATCTTTCAGTGACATCTAGTACCTTCACATTGTTGTGTGGTCATCACTACCATCTAGCTCCAAAACATTTTCGCCATCTTGAAAAGGAAATCTGAGCCCCTTAAGCAATCCCTCCCCACTGACCCCTGGCAACCACTAATCTGCTTTCTGACTCTATGAATTTGACTCTTCTGGATATTCCATATAAATAGAATCATGTAATATGTGGTCTTTGTGTCTGGCTTCTTTCACTAAGCATAATGTTTTCGAGGCTCATCCATGTGGCACCAGGCATTGTACTTCATGCCTTTTTATAGCAGAATAATATTCCATTTTGTTTATCCACTCATCAGTTGATGGACATTTGAGTTTTTTCTACCTTTTGGCTATTGTGAATAGTGCTGCTATGAATATTCATGGGCAAGTTTTTGTTTCAACTCCTATTTTCAATTGCTTTGGATATATACTTAAGAGTGGCATTGCTGGGCAGCCCTGGTGGCGCAGCAGTTTAGTGCCGCCTGCAGCCCGGGGTGTGATCCTGGAGACCCGGGATCGAGTCCCACATCGGGCTCCCTGCATGGGGCCTGCTTCTTCCTCTGCCTGTGTCTCTGCCTCTCTCTCTCTTGCTCTGTGTCTCTCATGAATTAAAAAAAAAAAAAACTTAAAAAAAAAGTGGCATTGCTGGGGTATATAGTAACTGTATGTTTAAGTTATCCAGTAAATAAAGCTTGGGTACATTTTTAACCTTGTAAGGGCCAAGTTTAGAAGTGCACCCATCATGCAATTAACTATCAGGCCCATTGTTGGCTCCAATTGTCAATCTTGGCTGCCATACCCCTTGGTGTCTCTTATTCAAGAGACACTTGGGGTTTTCAAAAACCAGCTCTGTTTCAATTTTCTTTGAATAAAAAAGTTATGGAATGAGCACGTTTAAGAGATCAGACACAT